TGTGTGTGTGTGTGTGTGTGTGTGTGTGTGTGTGTATGGAGCAAAAGTGAGATGCCTTTTCATAGAAGAAAACAATTCTGCAGGAAGAGGGAATAGGCACACACAACACGAAAGCCCCTGAGGTTTTACAATCCTCATTCCTTTGGGGGGGGGGGCTGTGACTGTTCCTCACCTGTCTAACAAGTGACTTCATTTTCGAAGGCCCTACCTTTAAGATGGTGGCCTTTTCATCTGGGGAAAGGCCTGTCTCATTTATGTCTGCATTCACTTTGGTCATGTAGGGAGTACTGTGGCCTGCTATCTAGAAGCTTGGTCACGGGTTACCTCTAAATGTCCCCACTAGACCGCAGTGATGATGCTCTTGTCTGTCCCTTGCCCTTTTTGCACAGACATCTTTCACCTTCATTTATTTGCACACCAGCAGGTATCTGACATATACTGAACTAACTGGAACAGACGTAGAGGGAGACTTCCTTTTCCTAACTGTGGAGTATCTAAACAATTTGGCCCGTGGAACAAAAGAGATGAATGGAAAGTTTGGAAAGTGAAGGCAGAGAATGGAAGAAAAGTGCTCATGAGTCAGTCAGGTGACCCCGTCTTTGACCTGGCCCGGCCTCCGCACCCTTGCTTCCTGTCAGGAAGTTGGAGAGGCTAAAAACACTTCGAGAAGAGTTCAAAGCACTGACACAAACATGTTACTACTTCCTTTAAAAGTTTACAGAAAGAAAGTGTGAGCATTTAGTAAACCTTGGTCAGCAGGGCTGCGCGGCCCCAGGTGAGCTGGCTGTAACGCCCATGTCATTTTCTCACAGGTATGAACTGGGAGCGGCTCTCTTTATCGGATGGGCAGGGGCCTCTCTGTGCATCATTGGCGGCGTCATATTTTGCTTTTCAATATCTGACAACAACAAAACACCCAGGTAGGAAAGAGAGACAAAAACACCCTGTTGGAAAAAGCGCTCTACCTGTGCCTCTCAGCCTTCCTGAGGCTGCCTCCCTTTACACAGCTGCTCATGCTGTGTGACCCCCAAACTTAAAAGTATTTCATTCCTACTCCATAACTGTAATTCGGCTGTTTATGAATCATAGTGTAAATATTTTTTGGAGACAGAGGTTTGCCAAAGGGGTCTCAACCCACTGCACTCTATTATTCCAAATCATTACACGTGGGACAAGTCACACACAATTCGTGTGACTCTTAGAAATTGGAAGTAACAATGGAAAAGGGTTAGGGACAATTATTATCTTGAAAGATCTCACTGCTGTGTTCTAAAGCTGTTTCTGTAACTGGGAGGCCAAGCCCAAGGGTAAAGGCGCGTTTTCCATGTCGACTTTACTGTGATTTTCACATAGGCAGGAATCCGTGACGGTCTCTACTAAACCCCAGTTTCAGGAAAACAAGCATTAGAAACTAGTTGTGAGAAAGAATATTAGAACAAATAATGAGTTCCCTCGACAGAGAGTCTTTCACCACGCAGGCTATGTGGACAGAGAGGGATGAGCGCTAACCGGCGGAGGAGGAGGAGTCAACCACTGACGGCAATGGTTCCGTCCATTTCTCCTTTGCCCTGCGTGTAGAACAGAATCAACCCAGTATGTTTTACCTTTCAGAATGGGCTACACATACAATGGACCCACGTCCGTCATGTCTTCTCGGACCAAGTATCACGGTGGAGAAGGAGATTTTAAAACCACAAGCCCTTCCAAACAGTTTGATAAAAATGCTTATGTCTAAGAGAGCTCCTGGCAAGCTGTGTCTTGAGTGTGCTGTGAAATTGAACTGTTCACACAACGACCCTTCCAAGGCCCTCCTGTAACTACCGCTTCAGCTTGTTTTTTAAAATACGAATTTGAAGACTGTTGATTGGACGGATGTAAATGTTCTTATAAAGGTTATATACTGATCACTTTCTGTTGTGCCTTCCTATAAGGAAAATAAACAGGTTATTTACAGGATCTGTATTTTTATACACATAGAACACATGGACGCTCTTAGTTCAAAGGCTCAGGAAATGTTGGGGTGACAGTCACTTTGATCTTCAGTATGCGGAGAGCTCCCCTCATTTCATGCACGTGTTAGACAGAAGTGTGTAGGCAATGATGTCTTGTGAATGGGAACGGGGGTAGTTTGAGACTATTCCTCACCAGGTGTGCAAGCTAAACATTCCCATTGTTATCTGCCATGTGGAGTTGCCGTCTAGTTTCTTAGACCTGCCTGACAGGACTGTCACTCACGATGACGGCTCAAGAAAAAGGTGACGTGGCCCTGTATGTGGATCATAAGCCACACAGGTTTGTCTGACTCAGAACGCTCATTACCATCAGGTGAGCTGGGCAATGGCAGTGACCGACTCCAAAGCCAGCTAAGGAAGTTCTGGGGCCTGCGTGGTGCCTCTGCTGCATTTGCTGGGTGACTCAGGGGGTCTGCGCATAGAACTCTCCAGGTCACTGCGACACTGGCCATTTTTCAAGACATGGAACTTGATGAGGTGACTTCTGAACAAAGATGCAGATTTATTCCTGAGGCTGGCCCTGCACATCACTCTCCCACAGAGGCAGTAACTGTTTCCACTACCACACAACTCTGTGCCCCAGCTCATTCATTCTTACCGTGCCCTTGATGGTAGGCAGGGACTTTCCTGTATGTACAGCAAAGAATGTGGAGAGTTGAAGTAACCAGCCCTTTAGTGACGGTGCCAGGACACAAGCTGGGAGGGTCTAGGGTAAAATATATACGGTATCAGTTGTAAGAATCCGTACCTGTGGCAAGTGCTACAAATTGTCCGGGATGAATCACATGGGTGACTACATGACTTTCCCCAAGAGTGAATGGCTGAAAAGGAAAAATACCTTTTTGCAGGTACTTAATGGAAAGAAAAAGAAATTTAAAAAATGTTTTTAAAAATACAATTAAAAATTTAAAAATACCATACCTTGTTAATACTTGAATTTTTTTTTTTTTAAAATAAAGGTGGGTTAAGAGGCAGAGTGCTGGGGAGGCCCTCAGGAATCCACAAGAATGACCCCACCTTGATCTGCTGGCAGTGGTCCAGAGGGTACCTGGACCGGTCTACTCTGGTGACCAGCCTAGCAAACAACCTAGCTGTCATCATACAGCCTTTGTCCAGTGACAGATGGAGGCAGATACAGAGATCCACGGCCAGGCTGAGCTCTGGGAATCCAATTGATGAGAGAGAGGAGGGATTCTGCAGGCGAGGGGCATCGAGATCATGATGGGAGGACATGCAGAGATGACGGACCATACTAATGGAAGCCCATGAACTGTGGACTGGTGACTGTGGAGCCCCCATGGGACTGGACTAGGCCCTCTGGACACGGAAGATGGTTGTTTGGCTCGAACTGTTTGGGGGGCACCCAGGCAGGGGGATCGGGATCTGTCCCTGGTCTATGGGCAGGCTTCTGGAACCCGGTGCCTATGGTTTGACACCTTGCACAGTCTTGGTGCAGTGGAAAGGGGTTGGACCTGCCTAGGCTCAGTGTGCTGGGCTCTGCTGACTCCCCATAGGAGACCTCGATTTGGGGGATGTGGGGATGTAGGGTGGCTTGGGAAAGAGGGCTAGGAGGTGGGAGGAGGGAGGAGGGGGGGTCTGTGGATAGCATGAGGAGTGAGTAGAAAATTTCTTAATAAAGAAAAATAAAGTAAGCCGGGCGGTGGTGGCGCACGCCTTTAATCCCAGCACTCGGGAGGCAGAGCCAGGCGGATCTCTGTGAGTTCGAGGCCAGCCTGGTCTACAAAGCGAGTTCCAGGAAAGGCGCAAAGCTACACAGAGAAACCCTGTCTCGAAAAACCAAAAAAAAAAAAAAAAAGAAAAATAAAGTAAATAAATAAATTAAAAAAAATAATAAAGGTGGGTTAAGTACCGCAGACCAGTGTGGAAACAGCATTGTGTAGGCAAACATTTTTTTGTTTGTTTGTTTTTGTTTTTTTCGAGACAGGGTTTCTCAGTGTAGCTTTGCACCTTTCCTGGAACTCACTTGGTAGCCCAGGCTGGCCTCGAACTCAGAGATCTGCCATAGGCAAACATTTAAAATGATTGTTTTTCTTCAACTGAACTGGTGAAGACAGCAGTCAGACAGGATGTAGGGAGAGCAGGGGATGAGGGTATGGACGGCATCAGGGAGGGGCCATCTACGGTCTGTCTACAGAAGAAGATTCTGTCTACAGTCAAACAGAGTGGGGAAAGGAGAAAACCCAAACGGATAAGTTAAAGGACTGAGTTTTGTGACGCACATATACCAACTTAATTCATCCGCTGGGTTTAAGCAGAGGACACTTCCCCAGTCCCAGACAGGAAACTGTGCACAGGACCTGGGGCAGGCTTACTGTAAAGCTGGCTTTTGTTACGTTCTGGTTGTTTGTTACGTTCTGGTTGTGCATCCTTCGGCCAGAGACTTAACTCTTGATTCCTAATATCTTCATGATCACAAAAAGAGCATATCTCAAAACTCTAACTGAACGAAGGCCTGAGTCACACCCAGCCCAGAAGGGAGGCCAGATGGCTCAGCCAGGGCGTGGTGCACCCCTTTAATCTCAGCCCTTGGGAGGGAGAGGCAGGTGGATCTCTGAGTTCAAGGCTGGGGTCTGTAACAGGTTGAGTTTCAAGTCAGCTGCAGCTACATAGTTGAGAAAAACAAAACAAAGAAACAAAACAAAACACCACGTGGCTCGATAAAAATCTGCTGAGGAAGTGAGTGATGTGTAGGGTGTTTATCTCTGTCCACACATCGTAGTCTGACTGTCCCACACTGAGTTTTAGAAGCCTACATACAAAGTGAGCTTTTTTGCACACAGTGGCCCCTGTGGGAAGGTGGAAGGATTTTTTGTTCATGGTTTGGAATGGGTACACATAGGTTTTGGGATGGTAGCCACAGTAACCACAGAGATTTATTCCAAGATCAGGGTGTTAGAAGCCATGGCTTTGTAAAAGCCCCTTCATAAACTCAGCCAAGACATCATCTCTAATGATCAGGCACACTCACAGGGTGTAATGGAGGACTTTACTGGCATTGTTGATGGTTGACAGGAGACCCCAAATCACAAGCTATTAAAATGTTACCTTTTCTTTTTTTTGAGATAGAGTCCTAATAGTACCACAAAGTGTAAAAACTACTTTTAAAAAAAAAAGGAAAAAAATTTAAAAAGAAACGAAAAACAAACAGTTTATATATAAATTTTCTGATCATTGCCGAGATCATTGTTCAAGAATATAAATTAGTTCTGAGGTATTTTATAATGGGCTGAGCACTGAAAAACAGAGGAACTACACACGTGTGACTCGGGAATGGCTCATCTTCTTCTAATGATCATCTCATAAAACTCAATTGGCATTTAGAACAGTTGCACATTATTCATAAAATATCCAAGATAAAGATTACACTGCACAAAAGCACTGGTCAGTAACAACATGCTAACAGGGCCTCGCAGCTCAGGGGACAGAGGTACTCCAGGAGAGTGCGTTTACCACGGCCTGGCTAATTGTCACCATTCTAGACTTACTTCTAGATGGAAAACAACTGAAGTCACTGAGGTCACTAATTCAAATTTGAAGAGACTTAACAGAATTTTATAACATAGAAACTACCAATGTGACAGTACATACTTATTTTAAAAAGCTACAATGACTCAAACCAAAGCCTACTATCAGTCAAAAAAAAAAAAAAAACACTTAAAAGTCAGTTGAAAAAAAATACATTTAACACTAGAGTACCGTTGTGAAGAAAACTTTTTATGACTGAAAGGACATCTTGTTGTACACAGTGGGCCAGCTGACAGATTTCAGTACTGTGTTCCGAGTTGTTAGAGACGCCCTTGCTCTGAGTGGGCTTCCTTGTGAGCTGGGAAACACTAGGGAACGTTAGAACCCGATAGGCTGCTGGCCGAAATGCTGCTGGAACAGTTCTCTTGTAACTTGTAGTTACACATCCAAATCGTCACTCCAGTCAGTCACCGTTACCAAGCTGCTTTTCAGTGTGCTCGATTCGTTTTCTTGAAGTCCTGGACAGGGAGCAGGAGGAAGAGAGGGGACCTGTGGTTAATCACAGTCCCCAGACTACAGTCTTTGCTCACCCAACATCTGAATCTTCCAGGCTTTCGGGGAGGTTGTTAGAAAACGCAGCCACAGGTGGGGAACGTTTCTCCATGTCCTCACAGGACATGTCCCAGAAGCTCCTAGGCAGCAGGGCCTGTATCCTGCTTCTCCTCCCTGTGGTGTTCAGCGTGGTGCCTGGATGTTGAGTTCTCAGTGTGTTTGTGCTGTGTTATTAACTATGAGCAAATAGAAACCGGGCAAGAAAGGAACGTAAACCCTACACATCAATGCAAATCTAGTTTAATATTTAGAGGTAAGTGTTAAACATGGATTTGCTGGGGTAGAAGAACTTAAATTCGAAGTTAATTAAAAAGAGCCATGATTTTGAGCCATGGGAATAGCACACTGTGGAGAGTTCCACTCTAGTTTGACTCTAGAATGTTCTCCAAGGAACGCAGGGTCCTGGCATTGAAGCACCCTCTCAGTTCCTTACGAGGCAATGTTTCTCAAACATTGTCTTTGGTTTTTATGAATCCTTAGCAGAGATAACTTCATAATGGCTATGTTACAGCCATGTTATCATGTCACAGTAAGTGCACAGCTGACATATTGGAAGGGAGAAAAGGGACAGAGCTGAGAATGCCCAGAGCGGGGACAAGAAGACCTGCTGAAGCCAGGGGACAGGACAATGGAATCTATAGGCACAAATTCATGCAAAGGAGCGCAAGAGGTGCAGAGCATGATGGAGAGGATCCTCCACCCCCACTTCCGCCATCTCAGAAGAGCATCGGTAGCTAACATCTGAAGTTGTCAAATCAAGAAGCAGGGTTGAGGGGGCTGGAGAGATGGCTCAGGGGTTAAGAACACCGACTGCTCTTCCAGAGGACACGGGTTCAATTCCCAGCACCCACATGGCAGCTGACAACTGTCTGTAACTCCAAGACCTGACACCTTCACATAGACATAGATGCAGGCAAAAGTACCAATGCAAATAAAATAAAAATAAATTATTAAAAAAAAAGAAAAAAAAAAGAAGCAGGGTTGAGTCCATTACTGAGAGATGCGGGAACGGTTCACCAGATACTAAAGACGGTGAGACGTATCATGGAGGAGCCCTTACATCTTCTCATTTACCATGTACAAGGATTACTTTGATTTAAAACATATAAATAAATTATAGATGGGCATGGTGGTGTAACTGGTGTGGAAGAAGTGAAGATATTCTCAAGAGATACTTGTGTCATTCAATACGACTATCAGGCCTTTGAAACAATGGATTTCAAAGAAATGAGAATTCCCCCAGGAATCTCATGGTGGGAGAAGGAAAAGGCCCTACCCCAGAATGAGATGTTACAGTTCTTACAAGTCAGATCATCTTACAGGCTAAGACTAAATCCCAAGCAATGATGGCTCAGGGTGGGCGGGACCGACTGCTCAGCTGTAGATATTCTTGGCCCTCTCAACTTTGACTTGGGGTGGTCACTGAACATCTTTGTTCCTCTTCCCAATGCAGCCACATTGAATAAATCTCCTTTGTCTGCTTCCCACTGTCAATTTGGCTCTTTTAATTGGGGATGGGTGGCTGGATCTGACTTGGTACACAAGTTGTGACCACCCCAAATTTGATAACAGCTGGCACATCTGTAATCTTGGTACTCAAAATGCTGATGTGAAAAGACTGAATGTTCAGGGCCAGCCCTGGGCCACACAGTAACACAGTTGAAATCTTGTCTCAAAAAGCCAAATAAGCAAAATAAACAAAATATACATATGTACACACACACACACACAATGATTGTGAATTTAGAAATTAGGCCTATTGAGAGTTCCATGACTCCCTGAGTTCCATCCAGGTTCTCGGGTGGACAGGAAGTGTTCCAACGTACAATGTCACTTATGATCCGTTCCACTGACTATAATGCTATTAAGAAAAAAACCTCCCTTGGAAGAAAGCAAAGGAAAATACTTATTAGGCAATAAAGGAGTACTGGAAGGTTGCAAAAAGAATGTTCTCATCCATGTTTAAGCCCAGAGAGTTTAATATCTGGGGGCATCTATGTGAAGAGAATATCTCCGTGGCCATTATAAGAAATAACATTAAAATGTTGAATGAAACACTACAGCAAAAATTAAAATGATTTATACATATGCGAAGTAAGTTATCAATATTCACATATGCCTTATAATAATGAAATCAAGGTCTTGGGTATAACGGTTGTGCTATTTGGTTTTGGCTAAGTGCTCTACCACTGAGCTACGACCCTCGCTTCTGCCTGATCGTATAAAAGTGTGACTAAAAGCAGATATTTACAAAGTTGAAACACTTGGGACTGAAGAGCTAGTTTGATTGGTGCAGTGCTTGCAGATCAGTCATGAGGAATTTGATCCCCAGAACTCACACTTTAAAAAGGCCACGAGTTAGGGCACCCACTGTTTCCCCGGCACTGAGAAAGCAGGAACAGACCTGGGACTCTGGCCGGCCAGCCAGCCAGTCTAACGGGCTTGGTGAGCACCAGGCCAGTGAGAGACCCTGACTCAAAACACAGGGTAGTCTGCTTCTCAGGAACGATACCAATGACTTCTGCCTCCACATGCATGTACATAAATGTGCACCCATATGAACACACACACACACACACACACACACACACACACACACACACGCCTCCACATGCATGTACATAAATGTGCACCCATATCAACACACACACACACACTCCAGAAACACAACCCATCAATATATAAGAGTGAAAACTGCTGAATGGACAACTTTCAGAAAAAAAAGGAAAAGAAAACAAAACAAGCCATTCAAAAAAAGGACACTATAGATTAATTTAACTGGGAAAATGGGTGATTGACAGAGACCATTTCCCTGACACTGTATTATACACATGCTAATACTTTAACTTAATTTTTTTTTTTTTTACTTCTACATTTTATCAAATGAGACCTGTGTTGTTGATTTCTAATTCAGTATGTTCTGCATACAGGAAATATGCAGCCAAATCCATCAAATCAAACCATTTTATCTGGAGTTTGGTACAGGTTTTAATTCTCAATTCTGTATAAAAAAATAAATACTATTGAACTTCCAAAAAAAAAAGAGTGAAAACTTCGAACCTTCTTCCTTGAATTCCCGAGGGTTCACTGGGCCCCAGGCCCTTGGCACGTGACTGGAATTTAGATCTCTCTTCCCAGGTGGAGGAGCTTCCCTCAGCTCTATCTTTTTCTCCAGTGACTTATCTTCCTCTAAGGATGATATGTCCCAGTCATCAGCATCTGCATCTGCGCACTAAGAGAAACCCAGAGAATAACTTGCATTTCCTAAAGAAACGGTGCGTCCGGTTCACTTTGTGGCGCAGGTTGAGCACATGACACTGAGGCCTCGAGGAGGCTGGAATGACTCAGGGGACCCAAAAGGAGCCTTCTTTGCAGAGCTGCGAAGCGAATCTGAAAACCCGCATCTTGAAATTTACAGATTTTGTTTTTTCACGATGTGGATTTTTTTCTTTATCAATTGTGAATTTAGAAAATTCTAGAACAGAAGGATCACAGGTGGAGGAAACTCTAAAAGTCAGGGTGAGATATGTCACCCGGGAGCCCTGCAGAATGAGCCCCCCTAGAAGGAGCACATTCCCATCAAGTCTTTTCCAAAGAGAGCCATGTCATCTTGAACTGACACAGCATTTTGACATTCTGTTTGTTTGTTTGTGTTAACACAAAAAAGCAATAACTAATGAAGAAAGCTCAACGGGATGCTTTGAGTCCCGTGGATGACTGGAGGGTGGGAGGTGGTTAGGTGGGAGGCTATCTACAGAACTGAAAAGAAGGACTAGTGCTGGAGGGCGCAGTCTACACAACCAGCTGACCGGAACCTTCCAGGCCTCTCCAATGACTCTGACCCTCAGGTGGGGCCAACCCTTAAAAGTCCCGATTTTACTTCCAGGTATCAGAAAAGTCCTTGTAGCAGATGTGGAAGCTCCAGTTCTAGCTCACTGCACTGCTGTGGTCAAAGCATCTGATGTCTGCAGGTGTGACGGACGGAATTGTGAACATCTGTGCAATGTGATACCCAAATATCAATGCACTGTAGGTTTAATAGCCATAACTGAAAAGACTGGGCCAGACAGAACTGTTTCAGATTAGATAGATAGGGTTTGGGGCTTGGGAACTGTTTCAAATTAGATAGGGTTTGGGGCCAGACAGAACTGTTTCAAATTAGATAGGGTTTGGGGCTTGGGAATATTTTCAGACATTTTATTGGGTGTCAATATCTCTAATCTGAACATTCCAAATCCAGTATGACCCAAAATCAGAAACTTTGAGATTGAACCTAGGGCCTCCTGCAGGCTCCACTACGCTACATCTCAGATCTCAAAATCTGAGAATTTTTGAGTCGATGCCAATGTTTAAAAAGTTTAGCACTTTGGGACGTTTCAGATTTCAGACCGTTCGATCCATACCTCCTCTCAGACAGCAGCAGATCATCTATGGAATGGTTAAAAAATGCAATACTAAGAACAAATCAAGACAAAACATCAGCCTTTACTATATTAACTAGTCACATCTGACTTACATTTCACTATAAAATACATTTACTAATGACTTCATGGAGAGATGAATTAGTTAGCAAGCGGCCTCACCTTTAACTCTTGCAGTTCTTCCTTTCTGATGAGTGTCTCAACAGTGTTCATCCCCGTAACTGGTTTATCCCCAATCCCCTGCTGTGAGACCACGTTCTCAACAGTGTCGGTTTGGATCTGAATGGAGGTTCCTATGGGAGCAACAGAACACAGTCAAGAAAAGGGTTGGAAAAACTGTATCACCATCAGTTCCAAATAACTCCACTGTCAGCTTTGAAGGAGTTTTAGCTTCACACATAACTATTTATCACTCAAATAAAACTAATTGAGATGTTTTGGGTTTGGGGAAAAAATGGGTTTGGAGAGACGATGGCTCAGGGGTCCACAGGCCCTGCTGTTCCTCCAGATAACAGGTTCAGTTCCTAGTACCCACAACACAAAGCTCACACACACCTGGAACTCCAGTTCCGGGGGATCTGATGCCCTCTTCTGGCCTCCATAGGCATCTGAACACACACACACACACACACACACACACACACACACACACACACACACAGTTTAAAAAAATTTAAAAAGCTAAATACTTATAATTCCCTTAAAAGAAGAAATCATAGTTTCCCAGGCATAAAGCTACATAGTTTTCACTCACAATAACAAGTGGGTGGTCTCATTCAAGTACGTGATATTTAATGGATATTTACAAAATAGTGTGAGTTATTTTTAAATGTACTCATTTCATTTTCCTAAACTATATAATTACATATTATATACAAATTATATGTAATATAGTTAAACCAGATATATTTAAAATCTATAATTTTAAAATTACACTAAAACATCTATTGGCTCCCCTTCCTTTGGCAAGTTACAGGAAATCTCACACAGGAGGCTTGTCTGTCCTTCAAATCACCCTGTGAAAAGCACAGTGATTAGGACAGCTGTTCTCAGTCATCCAAGATGAATGGATTGAGGTTTGTCCCTTCAGACCCACATGCTGGGGTTCTCACCCCTGCTGTCTTAGAACTTAATTCTAGTTGGAGGTAAAGAGATAATTAAGTTAAAGGGAGGTCCTTAAGAGTGGACCCATGGGGCTATGGAGACGGCTTAGTCAGACAGATGCTTGCACACAGCATGAGGACCTGAGTTCAATCCCCGGCAGCTACATAAACCCCCAGGTAGGCCGGCATGTGCTTATAATCACAGTGCTGGGGAGGTGGAGACGAGAACATTCCTCGAGCTGGACAGCCAGCTAGTCTTGCCAAAGCAGTGAGCTCTGGGTTGAGTAAGAGACCTTGTCTTAAAAAAAGAAAAAAAAGAAAAAAGATACCCAACATCGACCTCTGTCCTTTATACATGTGCACGCGCGCGCACGCACACACACACACACACACACACACACACACACACACACACACACATTTAAAGAGCGGTCCATGATCTATGTGAACAGTCCTTATAAAAGCTGGAAACCAGGACTGAAATGAACTCACAGGGGTAAGATGACATGAGGATAGACAGGGAGAGGAGAACCAGCCCAGAGACGCAGAACACATCTTCCCTTCCTCTTAAGGAAAGGACCTGGCCAACACCTTGAATTTGTTCATCCAGCTTACAGAAGATTGACACAAACAATTTCTGTTGCTTCAGGTATTCAGCTTACAGTATTTTATTAAAGCAGCTGCAGGAAGCCCACACACTCAGGATCCTCAACCGGTTCTTCCCCTTCTGTTTGAAGATGGGCGGGTCTCTGGCAGCCCTCGGACGAGCCCCATAATCCTCACACACAATACCAGCTCAGACGTCTGGTGCCTGGTGCCCCTGGGTGGGGGACCACTGTCCTAAATCAACCTGAATGGGGTTTTCAGAGGTCGAAGCTCACCTGTGGGCCTTGGGGAGACATCTGAGTCCTCCATCTCACTTCCCCCTGTCCAGTCCGGCTCACTTTTGACAGCGCTCTTTCCGAAGTTACCCATGATATTTTTAGATGGCTGTAGGGTAAATAAGTCTGGGGATACGTATGTCTGGATGAAGTCCTCTTCCTCAAGATCCTCCTCTGAGCTGAAGGGAGGCGTCCTGTGTAAGTCAGAACCAAAACAGGGCTGTAGGGGTCATCAGGACCAAAATGGGGGAACGGGGTAGAACGAGAACGGGGCTGTAAGGTGCCGTCAGAACCAGAACGGGGTGTACGGTTGCTGTCAGAAAAAAACAGGGGTAAAGGGGTGTGGTTTCTCCATTTCAGAATTTACTAACCAGGTGTGTCTTCTTTTTTCTTTTTAAAAATCAGTTCTTTTAATTAGCACACAATTGGCTTTATTCTGAATTTTCATACATTGTTTTCGCTGCTTTCTCCCTCCTCTCCTTCCACCTCCTCTCCCTCCCCCTCCTCCTCTTCCTCCACCTCCTCCTCTTCCTCCACCTCCTCTTCCTCCCCCTCCTCCTCTCCCTCCCCCTCCTCCTCTTCCTCCCCCTCCTCCTCTCCCTCCCCCTCCTCTCCCTCCCCCTCCACCTCCTCTCCCTCCTCCCTCCCCACACTGGACTTCTGTTTTCTTGTCACATACATCCTGTTCCCCTCTTTTTATTTCTCTATTTTCCTTAATCCTCTTTTCCCATTCATGGACCCCTCTAGTTTTATGACTAATGTATCACCCCCACATATATACATAAAAATTAAAACCTAGGCTCTACATATGAGAGAAAACATTTAATGTTTGTCTTTCTGAGTATGGAATATTTTGCTTAAAAGTAATTTCTAGTTCTACGCATTTTCCTGAATAAAATGGCAATTTGTACATGTACCACATTTCCTTCTCCAGTCATCTCTTGATGGACATTTCTTAGCTATGTTGAAGAGTGAAGAAAGAAACATGTATATGTGGATATCTCTCTATGATGATACTTAGAGTCCTTTGGGAGCATGCCCAGAAGTGGGACAGCTGGGTTCTATGGAAGTTCTATTTTTAGTTTCTTGAGAATCCTCCATATTAACTTCATGTGTTTGCCTTATAAGGTGATACAGGTAATTCCCAGAAGTATAACAAAGGTCACTCCCCTGTACCCACAGACAAGGACGCAGTGAAGCCATAGCCATGCGCAAAACTGAGGGGTCCTAAAGACTCAGATCTGCCAATCATGACACAGTTACAAAAACGGACTAAAGTTCCCCTAAACCTGGATGTGTACCATCCCAGTATTCTTAAAACCCTTCTCAGCGAATGAAAAACATATCTACACTCAAACTGCTCTATCTTTTAAAATCCTGTTACTTCTGACTCATGGATTGCCACCCCAAGTTAGGGACAGCACTGTCCATTTGAAAAACACCTTTAGAAAGCCTGAGTTCCATGTACATGGGCCTGTACACACTTGTTCAGTCACACATGAGACAGCTCTTCTCGTGAGGTGTGCTCACGAGAAGAGGAAACATTATGTGTCTCTACACGATGGTGTTATCTCTAGACTCAGGCAACGACAATAACATTCAACCGAGAGAAAATGAGTATCATTTAGAACAAATAACAAAAACAGACAGGTAATTTACTGAGTGCCCACAAGTGCCAAAACTCTTATGTATGTTCTCATTTAATTTGTAAAATGACCCAAAGCCTTTGGTACCCCACGCCTTTAATCCCAGTACTTAGGAGGCAGGGGCAGGAGCATCTCTGTGACGTCAAGGCCAGTGTAGCCAGAACGTGTTCCAGGCCAGCCTGAGCTACACAGTAAGACCTCGTCTGAAAAACAGACCATCATCAAAAACAGTATTCTATGAACAAGAAAGCGTCACATTTACAGAAAAAAATTTTTTCAATTAGGCTCAGAAGAAGCACATGATGAATGTCAGCTGATGCATGAACAAAGATTCTTATCTCCTGAGGCACCCCAGCGGAAGGCAGTCTAGTCTTCATCAGCCCTGACGAGGGGTCACAGTGCCCAAACATCACCTGACACCTGTGTGATCATGGACCCAGGCACCGAAACACCATCCGTCCTATTGAAATGTGCTTGTTAAAAATATCTCACTGGGAAGGCTGTATAAGAACCACTCAGGGGTGGTCCTTTTTCTTAATGGAGGCCATGTTGTGGTGAAATGCTAATGAGTGACAGGGTAACTGAAGAAGACATGTCACAAATAATAAGCCACAAAGGACTCAAAAAGTAATCCTGATGAATAACCACTGAGTCTTTACTTAATCACAGTGAGTCCCCACTTCACCACGAGAGGAATGCCCAGAAACTTTATATCCATTCCACTCACCCCCAGAACCTCTCCAGTACTCACTTGGTAGATGAAAACTTTCTGAGAAAATGACTTTCTTTGGTATTTTTCTTAAATCTAAAAAAAAAAATTAGAGGAAGACAAAAAATATTTCTAAAGCACATAAGTAAATAACATAGTTGACGCAATGTCTGTGGAAAACACAAGAGTCTTGGTTATCACCAGAGACTACATGGAAGTTGTGAATATGATTCGCTGCTCCTGACTCAATGTTTGTAAGCCACCAGACCTGTAGTGTGGTGACATCTGGAGGCAGGACTTTAGAGAGTTCTGGACTAAATGGAGTCAAAGGGTCGGGTCCCCATGATGGAATTACTGCCTGTGGTGGTCTGAATGAAAATGGCTCCTGTAAGCTCAAATGTTTGACATGGTCCCCACTGGGCCTGTTTGGGAAGACTAGGAGGTGTGAGATATGGCCTTCTTGGAGGAGGTATGTCATTGGAGACAGGCTTTGAGGTTTCAATGACCCATCTTTTTTCAGTTAGCTCTCTCTGCCTTGTGCTTGTGGATTGAGATGTTAGCTCTCGATTACAGCTCCATGGCTGCCTGGCTGCTGCCATGCTCCCACCATGATGGTCTTTGACTCTAACCCTCCGGAACCATGAGCCCCCAGGTTAAATGCTTTCTTTTATAAGTTGCTTTGGTCATAGTGCTTTGTGACAGCAACTGAAAAGCAGCTAAGACTTCCTTTAAAAGAGGAAGAGACCAGGGCTTGTTCGCTGTGTGAACTGTGACAAGAGAACTTGACCTTTGACACCTTGATTCTGAACTTCCAGCCTCCAAAATAAATTCCTGCTCTCTCAGTGACCCAGTCTGTTGCTGTGGAATGGTCTGTATGTCAAATGTGTTGCTCTGATTGATCAATAAATAAAACACTGATTGGCCAGTGGCCAGGCAGGAAGTATAGGTGGGACTAAGAGAGAGGAGAACTGAGAGAACAGGAAGGTGGGAGGAGACACTGCCAGCCGTCGCCATGACAAGCAGCATGTGAAGATGCCGGTAAGCCACAAGCCACGTGGCAAAGTATAGATTTATGGAAATGGATAAATTTAAGCTATAAGAGCAGTTAGCAAGAAGCCTGCCACGGCCATACAGTTTGTAAATAATATAAGCGTCTGTGTGTTTATATTATAAGTGGGCTGTCGGACTGCCGGGGCTTGGTGGGAGCTGGAGAGAAATTCTCCAGCCACAGTCTGTGATGTATTGTTATAGCAACTTCAGTTGGCTAAGACAAACAATACTTTTTTTTTTTTTAAGTTGAAAATACTCACTTTGGGACAGCCACCTTATCAGTAAACACAGTCCTCTGTCTGACCAATGGCCTGCTTTGTGGGGGAAGTTGGGTGGCTTTGGGTACTTCTTCAGCTGGGAAGGTGGTCATGGGAGGGATATTGTGCCTATCTGGAAGGGAAACATCATTCATGAGTCTCCATTGCCTCTGTGGTAAAGTGAAAAGTCAAAGTAAATGGCACAATGCTTTCCAGGGTGTCACCAAAAGGAACAAGCCTCCCAGGCTGGGATCCTGACTCAGGGCTTCTTATTATTGTTTGTTTGTTCTTGGGTTTTTTTTTTTTTTTTTTTGAGACAGAATCTCTTGTAGCCCAGGTGGCCTTGAATATGCTATATAGCTAAGAAGGATTCTGAACTCCTGTTCCAACTGCCCTTACCTCCTGAGTGCTAGGATTATAGGTATATATCCACCCCAAAGTGTGAGTTAGGGCTTCTCAAAATAAAAGTATAACCCAAGGCCCAGCATTTCAAGTAAGACAGTAAGAAAGTTGCCAGGGCCCAAGTTTGCAAACATTTAAAATTATAAAAAGGCTGTTAAATTTAGCTCCCATTTGTAGCAATGAAATACCAGGAGGTGGCAGCAGCTTACCCGAAGACAGCGACACTTTCTCCTCCATTTTACAGATGAGCTGATGTTCAAGGGATTCTCGAATTTGCTGAATGTCAGGCATTTGTTTTGCCAGATCATGTCTGGCTAATTGCATGGCTTTAAGTGAACTATTCAAGACGTCACATGGAATACCATGTATATCCTGAAGGAATAAGATGTTGTATCACTCTGTTATCATTATCCTTGGATGGTTTTCATTTGTAGACATATGTCGGCATTAACTCTGTTCTACTGGTCTACCAAGTGAGTTCCAGGACAACCAGGGCTACACAGAGTAACCCTGTCTTGAAAAAACTAAAAACTAACTAACCAGCTAACTAACTAACTAACCAATAAACATAGTAAAGTAACTGAAGGTCCAAAGCAGATCCAAATACACACAAGCAGTTTCCACATAATAAAAGCACTATTTCAAATGAATGGGAAAGGTGGATCACAGGACCAACGGTATCAGAACAACTGCTTCAAATGGAAATAAAGTTAAGCTTTTCTAATTCTGAACACACACCCCAAAACCCCCAAACTAGGAAACAAACAAAAATGTCTCCAAACACTAGGAGAAAAATCATAGATGAGGCTCTGATTAAAATTAAAATCCCCGAAACTCATAGAGACAGCAAACATGAAAATCTAGTCTCAGGAGCATCTGCATGGGAACCGTGGACACTGCATGGATGTTTCTTGGTTTCCACCGCCCCAGTGCAGCTAAAAACCCACACAGAGAGTCTAAGGAGTCACACACAGAGAGTCTAAGGAGTTACACACAGAGAGTCAGGGTGCGTGGGGATCAGAACACTTGAGAAAACACTCAGGAGCAGCTATGAGATAAACGTGTCTGCCTCTTGACCCAGCAACGTCATTCCTGGATACACCTCCAGAAGAAAGACACCTATCTTGATGTTCTAGGCTCACATCAAGGAACACGCACAAAACTCAGCTAAAGAGCGCATGCGGGAACCTTGCACATTTATCCATTTTCAGGAGAGATAAAACTGCACGGTATTCAGACAACTCGATGCCACAGTAGAGTAAATAAAGAACAAACTACTGGTGTGTGAGACAGACACGAACCCCACAGACTAGAGCATCATCAAAAGAGGCAAGCTGCAGAACAGCACACAGCACATGACTCCACTTCTCTGGGGCCCAAGAACGAGGAAAATTCAGTCACAACACCCGTCACCCCTCGTTGGAGAGCAGCTGTGACAGGCAGGCACGAAGTCAAGGGGACCTTATAGGGCACTAGAAATGTTCAATGTTACCACCGGATGCTGGTTGCAATTCTCTCACACAAACCCATCCACATACCTATAAATACACACATATATAAACATACAAACATGGAGGTACACAGTGTATCCATATGCTTACTCAAATATATGTGTATACATGTACATGTATGAACAAATAGTTGCATGCAAATGTGTATGTACATAAACACACAGCTATATCCATACATATGTCTACCCACAAACACCTGAGACATGCAGCAATATACACATGTGCACATCTACATACACATACATACTGTACCCATCTATCACGCAGAAGCATGCCTCTGGGTATAATGTACATTCATGCTTACATACATGTGTTCACATGTGTATATGTTTACATGCATTTGCATATAATACATACATACATTCATACATATATAGCCATGTATTTACCAGCACACAAATAAATTCATCAAATTGTTAGGATTTATATACTTACTGTATTCTAATAAAGAATTTTAAAAGCACAAAGGGTTTATATGTAAGATGTGATACTAAGATAATTCAATTTGGCTTCAAAATGAAACCTAATTCAGCTGCCCATTTACTCAACATTTACGAAGTGCTGATTCTGTAATGAGCAGTGGTATGAGGTGAATATCAAAATGTATTATTCTGAATGTATCAATGCACTATAACCACCCAGACAGACTCTGGCTCTCTCATTACTACCTATGTAATCTAGTCAAGTCACCTACTCTTTATATAAAACAAGTAATAATGCATTTTAGCCCACATTTTATTCCCGTTTATAAATAAGTTTGTATTTGTTAATATCTTAGCAAATGCTACCCAGAGTTCTGCTAATCCAAGTTTAATCAGCATCCAATCTTTAAATTCGGAGACTTTCTTCTCCTCTCTCATGGGTCCTGATACAGGAAATGGGACATAACAAGGAAATGAGTCAACGTACTTCGTCAATCCCAAAGCTCCTCAGTTTCCTTCCCAGCGCCTTCTCCAAGTTCGTCCTCAGCCCCTTAGAGGAGGAGCTGCCCTTCAAAGCCTTCCTTACATACGTCTTCTTATTTAATTTCTGTTCATTTTCTCGTCCTGAATTAAGGTTTTATGAAAAAGCAGATTTAAAGAGAATTATAGAAATACATTCGGAGTGGAAAACAGCAACATACAACTTTAAGACAAAGTAAACATCTGTGAGAGTTTAAAGTTTGGAGATTTTATAAGCATATCTTAACTTCTAAAACTGATTTAAGTCTGCCTCCGAACTTAGTGACTTCTAAGACTACTGACTGCTTACCCAAATTGCAGTTAGTCAACTTAAGAAATAGGTTATATATTTCTTTAATGTTTAATGTTTTATCAGTGGGAGTATTTCCCCAAAAGTTCATCTCTAAGCCTAGTTAGAATTTATCTTATGAAGAGAAAAAGTCCAGTTTATTTAAATTTTAAGCACTGCACTCACATGCATACCCCCACTTACATACACACATAATTACAATTTTAAAAAAAAAAGAACATTTTTTGAAGTTTACATATTGGAATACATATTTTTCACCTCTCTTCATGACAGAAATAGTTAATAATGGAACCCTTATATTTATTACCAAATAGTTTTCCACTTAAGAAATGACGCATGGGGGCTGGAGTGTTGGCTCAGCAGGTAAGAGCATTGACAGCTCTTCCAGAGGAAAAGTTCAATTTCCAGTACCCACGTGGTAGCTCACAACTATCTGTAACTCCAGTTCCAGGGGATCTGACAGCTTCACACAGACATACATGCAGGCAAAACACCAATGCACATAACAAATAAAAATAAATTTTAAAAAAATTTATAAGAAAAAAGGAGTGATACATGGTGAAGCATTGTTATTGATAAGGAAAAATCACAAGAAACTGATTGAAGCAAGTTTTCAGAATGTATGTCTGACATTAGAAAAGACTCCTTATGAAGCTGAGTGTTCCCAGCACTCGGGAGGTAGAGGCGGGAGGATCTCTGTGAGTTCAAGGCCAGCCTGGTCTAGAGAGAGAGGACAGCCAGGGCTACACAGAGAAACCTTGTCTTGAAAAACACAAAAACCAAACCAACCCCCTCCCCGAGCATTATGGCACACAGTCACAGTCACTGCACTTGGGAGGGAAGGGCAGGGAGACCCAGACTTGAAGCCCAGCTGGACTATGTGAAATCCTGCCTCAAATGCACATTTTTAAAAAGAAAAGACAATTACACAATTTTTCATAAACTTCAGAAATATGTAAAAGCAATTTTTAGAAATGCCAAATGGAATATATTAGCAATAATGATTTACCAGCTCCACTGTAACAGCTCCCACATCCTACCACGGAGTCCTATTTTTCTCTAACTATTTCATATCCAGTGCTTAGATTCTGGTTTCTTTTTTGACATTGAGAGTAATTTGGGGACTGGGGCTATGGTTCCCAGGCAGAACCCTTGCTGAGCATGTGCAAGGCCCTGAGTTTGATCCCCAGCACTGGAAAACACAGTAATTTGGAAATGGACACTTTACTCATTCATTTCAGGCTAACACTGTGAGAAACCACTGTGACACAAACATACTGTTTTGCTATTTCATCTGGTCAGCATATCTGTACTGAAATAAAAAATTTTTGTTTTTAAGTTTCCCGACATAGAAAATTTCTTATTAATTTCCCTGCAGGAAGAAAAAAAAAACCACAATAAAGCAGAGGCTATAGGAACGTTAGGGGAACTAGATAACAAATGCTGATATCCTATCAGTGGAAATGGCATTCAAATCTAGACGCCTTTCTTGTTTTCGATACGGCATGGTACGCAGCACGGACTTGGACTCTCAGCTCCAGATTTGAGCAAATGAGGAATGCTGGTGCTTTGTTACCTTTTTCTTCCTCTGAAGAAAGTTCTTCTATCGGCTCCAGGACGTGTGACGAGAACGCCTGCTCTGTTCCTGAGGACAGAGAGGAGTAATGCGAATGTTTGCTTCCTCCCAAATAGTTTACAGACGTACATATGTATATACAAACCACTGTGTGTGTGTGTGTGTGTGTGTGTGTGTGTGTGTGTGTGTGTGTGCATACATACATACATACACATATCCACAGACATATTCTGCCAAAATAGCAAAGATCTACTGGGATAATATTGAGGGAGACACTTTTGATTTTATTATTTTATTTATATATTCTTTTTTTTTAAAAAGTAGGGTCTTATGTAGCTGAGGCTAGCCTTGAACTCTCTATGTAGCAAACAATGACCTTGAACCTTGATCTTGATTCCACCTCCTAAATGACTGAATTATAAGGATTGAGCTACCATGCCTGGCTGAGGCAACTACAATTGGTCACTTTCCCAGGAACTCTTCAATTTCTAGGTATTTTCTATTAACTTCAAATATAATTTTAAAACTATATATTTTAAGTACTTAAATGAAAACTTCTCATTCATTAATCTCTTGCCTGACACCTGGGGTATAACGTCAAAAAGCCTTTCCAATGAGCCATCTATCTAAAATAGAATACCAGAAATAAATAGAGTACCCTTAAATAAAACAGAAGCCAGACCTTCCAAGGGGATGTATTGGGCCTGGATAGCTTGCACCCATGCCTGGCCACCTGTCAACCCTCTGAACTGTTGGCTAGCAGTGCGCCAAGATGAAGAACTAGCAAAGCATGAGCGTGAGACAGAGGCGGGTAAGCAACAATAAGGAGACCCATTCTTAAAGACATCCACATCCCCAGACTCCCGTTCTATGCTTGAGAGCCCCAGGTGAGGCTACAGGCTAGAGAAGAGCCCCGCCCATTGCTGGGTGAGGTGAAGTTTACCCCAGAACTCAGATGGAGACTGGGAAATGACATCTCTGGTTGACTTTTAGCCGGGACGTGCTATCCACCTGCACCAAGAAATCTGCCAGGAGCTCAATCAAACCAAGCCCCGTCCTGGGAAAGAAGGAAAACGCTTTCATGGGGAAGGTGCAGTGTTAGCATTCAGGATGTAGGCATGGCAACACCCAACCATCAACGCTGGCTTACACGATGCATGGCTCAAACACCTGCAGCTCAGAGATGACAAAGAGCACTTCTCCACTTCACACTTTCACCTTGAGGGGAAAGCCATTTCTTTCTGTCTTAGCCTCCAGAATGGTGTTGTGTAACAGTTTCCTCCAAGATTGAAACATTCTATCCTGCAGGAATCTCCTTAAGCAGGAAGGTAAACAATTAAAATAGCTCCAGGAAGTCCCTGAAGCTGAGCAGACTCACTAGGCCCCTCCCTGCCAGAGTAAATAAAAGCTGAGTCCCTCTCAGACAGAGTTAAGTTGCAAAGAAGACTCTCAGATAAGCCAAAGTCGCAAAGACTCAGAGCAGACCAGCTGCCTGGGAGAAGCAGAAACCAGCTTCCTGGAAGAGGGGCAGTCTCTAACCTGATGAGCTGCCTGCAGGCTGTGCAGTGTGCTCCAGGGTCCCAGTAAGCCATCACCCATGCTGGGGCGGGCCTTGGTGATGCAGCTGACTCGGCCATTTCTGCTCCTGGACGTGACCCTTCCCCCATATCCTTGTAAGTGACCCCAATGAAACCCACTGGTTCACCAAGTAGGAGTTTTGAGTTTGGTGGTGTCGGTACTTTGATCTGTTGTGGGCTCCCTACAGAGGGTGAGCAGACATGTATGTTGCATCTCTCCCCAAGAAAAGTCTGTCTCACAACACACAGGGAGTGGGCCACCAGTTACTGAGTGTTCACCAGGCAGCCAGGCAAGGATCTGAGTTGTTACACACCTAACACTTGGGAAGTCTGGCTTTTATTAATGGGTATTTCCAGGACACTAATTTGAATGGATGTGTGGCTGCGTGAACAAATGAACTTACACATGTATATATACTATGTATATATGTATGTGTATATATATATATATATATATATATATATATATATGAGAAAAAAATATAAGAATCAACTCTTGTTGCTTTGCCAGAAAGCCAGTCAATCTACTGCCTGTCATCTTTTTTTTTTCTTTTTTGGTTTTTCAAGACAGGGTCTTTCTGTGTAGCCCTGGCTGTCTTGGAGCTCGCTTTATAGACTAGGCTGGCCTTGAACTCACAGAGATCTGTCTGCCTCCAGAGTGCTGGGATTAAAGGTGTGCCACCACCACCACCCAGCTTTAAATGATATTCAAATAAACTTTGGAACACAGTCTATTTCTAGGTAGGGTACAGGAGGGTACAACTTTAAATTTGAAATGGACCCACAGCTCCTTGGAGGGGAATTTAAGTTCATCAGGTACCACAAAAATTTTTCAAAATTGTGATTCAGCATTGATATTTTAAGATTATTTCTAGCTTCAAATACAGAAATGAAAGACCTAAGGATGACAACTAATTTCATAGTTAAAAAATAAGTTTTTTTCCATTTTGTTTTTCTGTATATAGAGGTTTTGACTGCCATGTATGTCTGTGTACTCTGTGTGCAGTGCCCACAGAAGCCAGAAGAGGGCACCAGATCCCCAGGAAAGGAGTTGTGCATTGCCCACGTGGGTGCAGGGAATTGAACCTGGGTCCTCTGGAACAACAGCTAGTGCTGTTAATATCTCAGCCATCTCTCCAGTCTCAATTTAAGTTTTTAAAAAGTTACACAGTAGCCAGGTGAGTCTCCTAGCCAAGGGGCCACCCCCCTGGGGAGGCAGGCTCACCTTAAACCATGCTAATGCAATAGATGGGGTGACTGACTCCTTCTACTGAGGGCTAACTCAGGATCATTGAGTCAGCAGCTGCTAATGGGCACTCCCTCTTTTTGCAGTTTCCTACTCCAAAACAGGGCAGAAAAAGTTTGAAGAAAAGACTGTTTTAAAAGAACAGGGATTTGTAAGACAAATTACACATGAGCCTTTTCTATCAAATGCTAAAAAACTTGAGCATAGGACAAGGAATTCAAGACCCATACCACCACACCCATGTCTACTTTTCTTTCAATGAAAAACAAAAACACTGATTCATTGATTGATCAATTGGCTCACGTGCGTGCATGCATGTGTGCGTGCGTGCGTCAGTGTGGGTCTGGGAGCACCATGGCATGCATATGAAGTCGGTGGAACATGAGTCTCAGTCCTCGTCGCCCACTGTGCTCACGGCTTTGTGTGCGGGGCTGCTGGCTTGGATTTCCCGGGACTCTCATGTTTCTGCCTCCCATTCACCTCAGTAGCACTGGGATTCCAGATGTGGGTTCTGGGGATCCAAACTCTAATCCCCATACTTGTGTGGCAAGTGCTATATCTACTGAGCCGTATAGGCTACTACTCAGCCAACGTCTGTTCTTTTAAGGGTCAAAACCCAAAGTGGAAGGAGGTAATCATTAGATTCTAAATCATCTGTAGACAGGACAGGAATGAAGCAGTCCCCCTGCCTTAATTCTTTGTAACACACAGCAGCTGTGTTTTGTTAGCTATCACATACGCATGTTTCCTGTAACATACAGGAAAACACATAACGAGCAGGGGATAGACACTGAAAGAACCCCAATTCCATAGACGAGAAATACAGCTGCAAATAGTCATCCATCTACCCGACAGATGTCCTGTTCGCACCCACTGTCCTGTCTGAGGAGTCGGTTCTGGCAGAGATTTCCTCCCTAGCGCCTTGTGCAGTTTATTGCCTTTGGTTTCTCTTTTTTCTACATCTTCCTGACCAATCGTTGAGACCATTTGTTTAAAAGAGGTGACTAGCCACCACACTGAAAGTTATAAAAACAAACAGAAATGCCCTGGGGCATGTGCTGGTTGGCTGGCCTTCCTCGGGACCTATCCCTCCGCCAAGATCATAAATAAATGAAGTACCAAAGTTAAAAGTGCTGTGGGTAGGCCCAACAACACACCCACACACTGCACGCTTTATGGTGTCGGCAGCATGTTTGGTTTTCAGTCATGTAATCTGTGAAGACACAGGTTTTACTAACTGCTTTGTAGTTACTAAAGTGTTTCCTGTTTTATATAATCGAACCCCGCTGGCAATCTGGGTTAATGAATTATCTAACTCGGGGTGAAAACTGCACCCCAAACATCAAGGCTGTTGTTGAAACCTACCATGTACCATGGTCAGGCTGGGTGGGCCATCCAGAGTCTGTGTGGCTGAGGCACTCACTGAAACAGAACAAAAGGACAAGCTCACTGGCCTGGCCGTGACGGCCTAAGCATCTGACCACACACCCTCCAAAAAGATACAGACAGCCCACAGGAAGCACATGCCGCAGACAACAGGTGCTAGCCGGCTGGCTTAATTTGATTTTTTACAATATTTTTTTAAATTATTATAAGCCTTCGAAAATAACTTTACCAAGAAATAATTACTTGTGTGTGTGTGTGTGTGTGTGTGTGTGTGTGTGTGTGTGTGTGTGTGTGTGTGTGAGAGAGAGAGAGAGAGAGAGAGAGAGAGAGAGAGAGAGAGAGAGAGAGTAGTTTTTAGGATATTCACAGAACTATGTGACCACAATCACTACCTAATCTTAGAGCTTTATGAATCTTCCTTAAATGCCGATATCTGTTAGCTGTTGTGGCTCCCTTCCTACCCACCTCTTCAGCCTCTAGAACAAGTACTGCCATCTGTGTGTCTGTGACTTGACTGAGTATTTCACACATACAGAACTACACACTGTGTTCTGGCTTCCTCCAGTCAGCGTGTTTTCACTGTGTAATATGTCACAATCAGCATTATTTTTATGCACTGTGTAATATGTCACAGTTAGCATTATTTTTATGGTCCAGTATATAACTAGACCCCAACTGTCTATTACTTAATGGACATTTATATTGTTTCCATTTAGGAAGAATGAGTTCTGAAAAATATCCCAAGCATGAGGCTAGATGTGAAGGAATTATTAATTCAGGCACAACTTGAGACAGAGGGAACCTGACTCAGTCAACACTAAATGCTATTTTTAATTTCCCTAGAAAGGTAAATCCTTCAGCCTCCTTTCTAAGATTTCACAAGTCCTATCTGAGAGTCCTTGGAGTATCTAATTACTCAGGATTTTTTCTCCCCATTAAACAACTTACCTACTAGTTTACTATTTCTTTCTCTAGTTCATCTTTAGTCCTAACTCTACCTTAAAAATATTGGTCATAACCTTGTTACCGCTGTATGCTTACTTTTTTTTTTTTTTAACAAAAAATACTGGCAAAAGCATTCCACTCATAACTGTCCTTAAGTTACTAGAAAAGTAGAAAATAGGACTTCTGGACTCTTGGCAACTTGTGTAGTCTAGATCAAGTTTTTGCCAACTACAGTCTGTGAGAAATATGGAGCCTGCTGATGTTTCTGTAAATAAAGTTTTATTGAAACATGGCCAAGTTCATTGTTTTACTGTCTACAGCTAGTTTTGTAATGTTACACAACTATATAGTTTTAGAAGAGCATCTTGCCATGTAACTTCAAGTAGTTACTCTCTCAATATACTCTTTACAGGAAAAAAAACACCGAAAAAACAAAAACAAAAACTGATCTAGGTGTTATTCCAGCTTTAAAGTCAAAAGATGCTGCTGTGTTAGAACTGATCTTCTCCCAGTGCACCTCGGAGGAGAGTCACAGAGCACTCTCCTCCATGATGGAAGGCACTAACGGGACTGAAATGAAGAAGGTCAAACCTCATCACACCAGACTCTTCCTGAGCTCCACACCAGACTCCTCCTGAGCTCCACACCAGACTCCTCCTGAGCTCCACACCAGACTCCTCCTGAGCTCTCCACACCAGACTCTTCCTGAGCTCCACACCAGACTCCTCTTGAGCTCTCCACACCAGACTCCTCCTGAGCTCTCCACACCAGACTCCTCCTGAGCTCCACACCAGACTCCTCCTGAGCTCCACACCAGACTCCTCCTGAGCTCCACACCAGACTCCTCCTGAGCTCTCCACACCAGACTCTTCCTGAGCTCCACACCAGACTCTTCCTGAGCTCTCCACACCAGACTCTTCCTGAGCTCCACACCAGACTCCTCCTGAGCTCTCCACACCAGACTCCTCCTGAGCTCCACACCAGACTCCTCCTGAGCTCTCCACACCAGGCTCCTCCTGAGCTCCACACCAGACTCCTCCTGAGCTCCACACCAGACTCCTCCTGAGCTCTCCACACCAGACTCCTCCTGAGCTCCACACCAGACTCTTCCTGAGCTCCACACCAGACTCCTCCTGAGCTCTCCACACCAGGCTCCTCCTGAGCTCCACACCAGACTCTTCCTGAGCTCTCCACACCAGACTCCTCCTGAGCTCCACACCAGACTCCTCCTGAGCTCCACACCAGACTCCTCCTGAGCTCCACACCAGACTCCTCCTGAGCTCCACACCAGGCTCCTCCTGAGCTCTCCACACCAGACTCCTCCTGAGCTCTCCACACCAGGCTCCTCCTGAGCTCCACACCAGACTCCTCCTGAGCTCCACACCAGACTCCTCCTGAGCTCTCCACACCAGACTCCTCCTGAGCTCTCCACACCAGGCTCTTCCTGAGCTCCACACCAGACTCTTCCTGAGCTCTCCACACCAGGCTCCTCCTGAGCTCTCCACACCAGGCTCCTCCTGAGCTCCACACCAGGTTCCTCCTGAGCTCCACACCAGGCTCCTCCTGAGCTCCACACCAGACTCCTCCTGAGCTCCACACCAGACTCCTCCTGAGCTCTCCACACCAGACTCCTCCTGAGCTCTCCACACCAGACTCTTCCTGAGCTCCACACCAGACTCTTCCTGAGCTCCACACCAGACTCCTCCTGAGCTCTCCACACCAGACTCCTCCTGAGCTCCACACCAGGCTCCTCCTGAGCTCTCCACACCAGACTCCTCCTGAGCTCTCCACACCAGACTCCTCCTGAGCTCCACACCAGGCTCCTCCTGAGCTCTCCACACCAGACTCCTCCTGAGCTCTCCACACCAGACTCCTCCTGAGCTCCACACCAGACTCCTCCTGAGCTCTCCACACCAGGCTCCTCCTGAGCTCCACACCAGGCTCCTCCTGAGCTCTCCACACCAGGCTCCTCCTGAGCTCCACACCAGGCTCTTCCTGAGCTCTCCACACCAGGCTCTTCCTGAGCTCTCCACACCAGGCTCCTCCTGAGCTCTCCACACCAGACTCCTCCTGAGCTCTCCACACCAGACTCCTCCTGAGCTCCACACCAGGCTCCTCCTGAGCTCTCCACACCAGGCTCCTCCTGAGCTCCACACCAGGCTCTTCCTGAGCTCCACACCAGGCTCTTCCTGAGCTCCACACCAGACTCCACCTGAGCTCTCCACACCAGGCTCCTCCTGAGCTCTCCACACCAGGCTCCTCCTGAGCTCTCCACACCAGGCTCCTCCTGAGCTCCACACCAGACTCCTCCTGAGCTCTCCACACCAGGCTCCTCCTGAGCTCCACACCAGGCTCCTCCTGAGCTCCACACCAGACTCCTCCTGAGCTCCACACCAGACTCTTCCTGAGCTCTCCACACCAGACTCTTCCTGAGCTCTCCACACCAGACTCTTCCTGAGCTCTCCACACCAGACTCCTCCTGAGCTCCACACCAGGCTCCTCCTGAGCTCTCCACACCAGACTCTTCCTGAGCTCCACACCAGGCTCCTCCTGAGCTCTCCACACCAGACTCCTCCTGAGCTCTCCACACCAGACTCCTCCTGAGCTCTCCACACCAGACTCCTCCTGAGCTCTCCACACCAGACTCTTCCTGAGCTCCACACCAGGCTCTTCCTGAGCTCTCCACACCAGGCTCTTCCTGAGAAGAGCTGCACACTTCACTCCCAGATGGCAGCGGCAAAGTCAGTCCATCCCAGATGACTGACCTCAGTCTGCATCGCTAAGAAGCACACTGGCAGTCCACAGGTTTGACCACGTCCACCGTATGCACTGGGCACTAGAAAGCCTCCATCTTGCCAGGAATGGATCAGATTTATTGATCATGTCACTCCAGTGCTGACCTTTCCATTAGTATTTGGATCTTTCTATCTGAAACTTGAGGGTAAGTTCTCGAAGAGAACTTCCCTGTCATCCCTAGAACCTGGGACTTTTAGATCTTTCTCCAAGCCAGAGGAGGGGTTGGGGATTGGGGATGAGTAAACCGCCCTTAAGGGACCCCTAAATATGGGCTATGGACTTGCCTCCACCTCCCCTAACCCCAGTGACATCAGTACTTTTTCTTACCATATGTACCACAGGGGCAATTTACACATTCTTCTTTATGTTAATTTGCACAAACAACCATACAAACATCATGTACATTTTAAAACATAAAAATATTTGAAAAACTGAAGAATGAATTATTTACTATATCAAAATCTTAATAACTGATTTCTCATATCCCATTAGATCTGGTTGCCTACCCCAGACCGTCTGGACAGTCCACTTGGAGAAAATCACTCCCAACACAGCTTGCTGCTGGTTTTTCTTTTCTTCACTGTTTCTCTATTCGGTGATATTTCCTTTGTTAGTTTTCTTTTAACGTTCCCCGCTTCCCTGAAGTGTGTTTTTTATTTCCCGAATCCGGGTCCTCCTCTTAGCACTGAGCACGGCTGCCCCTCCCCCTGCCCCCCCCACTTCTAATCTCTCTGGCTTTAAGAGGCAACTGAGGCTTCACAAGAAGCGCCCCCGCAAAGACAGCGATGGAAACTATCAGTAGATTTCCCAGACACACCACTAACAACGTGCTTCGTCACTCCGCAGTCCTGGTGCCGGCCCGGTGAGTGGTGTCAGTACCGTGCCGTCTCAGGCCTGAGCCCACTAGTGCTCCAAAGCCCTGTGTACACAGCGCACCTGACTGTCCCTCACAAGTATCACCTGCTTTCCGACTTCCTCTACCCAGAGTTCTTTTCTTCTCCTTTCAGAAATAAAACATATTTAAATTATTTGAAAAAAAAAAGTATGAGACAACCACATCTTTGTTTGTGTGTGCACACATGTCCGTGTGTGTGTGTGTGTGTGTGTGTGTGTGTGTGTGTGTGTGTGCAACTATGGAAGGTGAGGATCATTGTCAGGTGTCTTCCTCAATTGATCTCCGTTTTATTATTACCAGATTTATTTTATTTATTTATGTCTGTATGTATTTGTGTCTGGGAATAGGTGTGACAAGGGTATGCATACTTGTGTATGCAGGGGCCAGATGAGGGCAATTGATCTCTCAGAGCTCAAATAACAGGTGTTTATAGAATGCCTGGCTTCTTACGTAAGTGTCTGGATCTGAATTCCAGTCCTCATAACTGCTCTTAACCTCTGAGCTAGCTCTCTGGCTTATCTTTGGTTTGTTTTTTGAGACAGGGTTTCTCTGTGTAGTCCTGCCTGTCCTGGAACTCATTCTGTAGACCAGGCTGGCCTCAAACTCAGAGATCCCCTGCCTCTGTTTCCCGAGTGCTGGGATTAAAGGCATGCACCACCACGCCAGCTATCCACTGTATCTTTTAAGAAAGATTTCTGACTGAACCCAGAGCTTGCAGATTTGGCTAGACTGGCTACTAACAAGTCCCAGAGATTCCTGTCTCCACCTCCTAGTACGGGGATTATAGACATGTGCTACTGGGCCCAGCTTATATCTTGCTTGTCCCTGAGTGCTGGGGACCAAACTCAGGTCCCCACACTTGCATAGCAAAGATTTTTACTGCCTCAGCACTCTCCCCGTCCCCAGATTTGATCTTGCTGGTTTACAACTGCATCTTGACAAATCCAGGCCCCAGATCAGATGCCCATGCTGAACACAAGGGACAGGGGACCTGTTAAAGCCCTCAGCATGGAGACTCAGTCATGTCAGTGGCCTTGGCCACTAACCATGCTCTTCCCAGGGTCCCTCGGGAAATCTCAAAATGTGAACTTGCGTGATGCCAAAATTTTTACTCATTCCTTTATAAATCAAATTGCCAAATAATAACTAAGCAAAATCTACAAGATCTACAGCCTTGGATTACAGAGCTAAGTCAAAGCCAGAACCAAAATGGATCACATGTCATCACCAAATATATTGTCTCCAAGAAAAAAAGTCTCTAAAAAATTAAGTAAGCAAGAAAAAGTGAGCAAAAAGCTATTTTAGACCTTGAATCTACACAGATACTTACTGGGTGCAGCAGGGCCAGCTGATCTAGAGTCCAGTGCTTGCCAGGTTAGAGAATTCCCTGAAATGACAAAAATATAAGTTAAAAATGAAAACCGTAAGACAGAAGCAAGTTTTGGCAGCAAATCATCCTAAATTCTGCCACCAGTAAAACAACCAAAGAACCTCTGCAACACAGAGTGAGGGCTGAGGGCTCTGTGGAGTATGCTTGACTCAAGTTCTTTTAAAGCTCATTTTTTTTTTTTTTGGAATGACGTCAACTGCCTATATTTAAATAAGCATTAATTTATATCTCTTCTCCCTTGAACTCTTATTATTCTAAGAGGGAGTCATGAACTTAGTCCCTCTTCTTTGCCAAACATTTATGCCATAAAAAGATGGAAGGGAATCCAGCTTGTGTGTCCCATTACCAGTCCAGCTAGTGTCCCTCAAGTAAGCAAAATTCCTTAACGGTCTGAGCTGCCCCGGCCAAGCCTGGGATCTCTGGGCAGAAGTCTAGCTTTTAGCTCCACTTTCCCTTCTGATTCAGATCGCGAGTGGTGGAGATGGCCAGGCCACTGCTGCAGTCGGTCGTAAGTACTGCCAGCACGCCTAGAATCAGGCTCTAACCCTCGACAGCTGCAGGGAGGGATGCAGGCACCCCTACGGTGTTTTAGGACTGTCTGATGTCGGTCCTAACAGCCAGCGCCAGGAGTGCCACTGCTGTACTTCCAGTGAGTTCTTCCATTCCATCCTTGTGTCAAAGCTTTAGCTAAGTTACTACTGGATCCCCAGTGTTAGAGATGAAGAAACTGAACGCAGACTCACAAAGACATGCCGTGCCAGAGACGGGGGTTGAACTCAAACTCTTGCTAGGCCCTGTGTTTTTAACTCTGTCTTATGTGTACGAACCGAGAGATAAAGGGCAGGACTGGAAAGATGGTTCAGTGGTTAGGAGTATTTGCTGCTCTTGCAGAGGACCTGGGTTTAGTTCCCAGCACTCACATGGCAGCTCACAACTATCTGTCACTCCAGTACTGTCCAGAGGATCTGATGCCCTCTTCTGGCCTCCACATTGGTCTTGCATGCTCATGGTACACATACATACATGCAGGCAAAAACACTCATACACATAACAATTTGAAAAATTTTAAAGAGGCAAATGACCACTCACCAGCACTGTGCACACAATTGCTGACTGAGTTATATATAAGATAGTAAATGGGAGTTTAGATTTTTTTAGTTCTTCAACAGATCTCTCAAATATTAAAAATAACATGAGGACATATATCCCAAATAAAAATACCAAGTAGAATGGTGCTTTAGTAGACACAAATCAGCAGGCCCAGATTTTCTGTACCCAATGCTGTCAAGCAAGGCACTCTGCTCTATCACAGGGATCCTGTGCACTTACCTTTCAGCTCACCAACACTGATGTATGGTTTACTGGTAAATTCTCTGATCTATGAAAGAGAAAACAGTCGGCTAGCCATTCGTATTCTAAACTAGAGACGGACAGATCGAACAAAGCCCGTTACGGTCATTGGTACATTAACTTTTTCACTGAATCACCCCACATGTGCTTCCTGACAGAGGAAGGAGTTGTAGAAAGGTAACACTCACGGATCTGGCTATTTCTCCAAGTGATCATGGGCAAAGGCTCACCTACCTTCAAATGTACAGTCTGAGGCATTTCTGTGTCTAAAGTAGCTTTGGGGACAATTTACTTTAATGCATTTACTGTTGCAAGCAATCTCAGGGAGCAAAGAGTCGACTTCTATCATCTTCAACCTAAGATGCCATAACCGAAACCACTGTCCTCAGACCAACTGTGCGGCTCCTCCAGGCATACCTGCTGCCTCTGGCTGAGGATCAGCTCATTCTGCTCCTGCACTTTCTGGCCTAGTTCTTCTATCCGCCTCTTGTAGAAAACGTTATGTGCACTTAGATCGTCCATCATCGAGGTTCGAAGCTTCTCGATATTCGACAGGAGCTGGAACAACAATTGGGAAGCGTGTTAGTCTGCAAGGTACATGCACGATCTCTTTTTTTGCAGATTTTATGTGCTTGTCTTGACTTCTCTGCTGGCTTTTTGCAGTCTCTCTGCATTGAGTCATTCAGAAAATCTTCATTCCATGCATGCCAAGGCCCTGGCTGTGCTAGACTTCATCCCTTCCCAGGAGTTTATGGTCTGAGACAGAAAAAGCTGATCAGGCGGGCAATGAGTCAACTTGAGCATATTCTATCAAGTAACACACAGCTGCTTGGTGACTGAGGACAAGGGTCTTTCCTGGGGGTCTCACCTCCAGGATGAACTTTACATACAGCCCTGTGCCCTGCCCTCATATCCACACGTAACATGCCAGCTCAATTGGGCTGTCATGGGCCAGAGAGTTCATTTGATTCATTTTATACCCCAGCGATCAGCATAATCACTGGTCCATACATGTAGGAGCTTCAGGAACAGAGGGAGAAGGGAGGTGTGAATGGAGGGAAAGGGAGGCAAAATGCACACAGATTCATCTTTAGAGACTATGACGGTTAATCTCTCCTTTTTACTTGTATATACATATGGTCTCAGTGTGTATGTGTGTGGGTGCACATGCACGCGAGTACACACACGTGTACCCATGTCCATGTGGAAGTCCAAGGTTAACATTGACATCCTCCTCAATCACTCCTTATCTTCCTCAGGCAGAACCTCTCAATCCAACCCCAAACTGGCTGATATGGCTAATCCTGATTGCCTTCTGAGGCTGAAATTATAGATGGGCTACCAAGTCCGCTAAGCATTTTCACAGGGTGTGGGAACCTGATCGCTTGTCCTCTTGTTTGTGTGGCAAGCTTTTTAACTGCTGAGCCAACTCCTCAGCCCATGTGATGGTTAATCTTGTCAACTTAATGGAATTTAGAGTCACCGCAGAAATGAACTTCTAAGCTTGTCTGTGAAGGATTTTCTAAATGGAGTTCACTGAAGTGGGAAGACCCACCTTGAACGTGGCCATCATTCTACGGGATAGGTCCTGGACTGAATACGAAGCAGAAGGGGACCTGAGCAGTGACATTCACTTCTTTGTTTCTTGACAGTACGCTCCTGCCTCCCTGATTTCCACTGGGGTGGACTGTATCCTCCGACTGTGAACCAGTGAGCCCTTCTTTAAGCTGCTTCTGCCAAGCATTTCCTCACAGTCGTCCATAAACCAACACAGAAACTTGATGCCAGGGGAGATTACAGACTGGACCAAAAAAAATCGCTTCTGATAATCTAGGGAATGCCACTCAAGCAGTCTCAGTGGTTGACAAAACAGAAGGGTAACGAAAAACAACACAAACCAGCTGGTAACTGGTACTCAGGACACTGCATCTCACTCCCGATACAGAGAGGGGGTGGGCTGACCAAACTGGGCATTTCGTCACGGTCGCCCACAAACTGGCACAGAAACTTTAATGCCAGGGGAGAGTTTCTCTCATGAGAGGGTATGAGTGTCCAGATGGGCATTTTCCATTATTTTTTTGAAAGATTTAATGTTAACTTGTATATATGTGTATGCATGTGTGGATATGTGCACATGAGTGTGGGTACCTAAGGAGGCTAGAAATGTCTGGAGCTGGGCACAGGCAGTTGTGTGCTGCCTGATATGGGAGCTGAGACCTGAACTTAAGTCCCCTGGAAGAGCAGTATGTACTTTTGGGCTTTTTTTGTTTTGTTTTGCTCTGTTTTTTTATTTATTTGATTATTTATTTAATTACACTCATGATATTTATTAACTACACTCACGATACTAATTACATTTGTAGAAAAAAAAAAAAAAAAGGTGTAGCCCAGGCTGGCCTCGAACTCGTGATCCTCCTGCCTCCGCCTCCTTCAGCAAATCGTACCAGTGTTGCCACCACTATTGAACTATATCTCTTCAGCCTGGTTGTGTGTTTTTAAATCAACACTCACTATGTACTCCAGATCTTGTTTATTCCATGGCGCTACAGAAATGCAGTCGAGACTCATGGTACAATGTGGAGACTCAGGTCTGGAGAGGTAACATAAATGACTCAAATCCAGAGAGCTGCGACAGAGTCTGACCTTGAACTCCCACATCTGGCTTCAGAGTCAAGGCTCCACACATGGCATGGTCTTGCCTGTGAAGTTCTCTGTGTTTCCAAAAGTGCGTGTAGAAACACTGAGCCTGAAGCATGTGGGAAGCCAGAAGAGAACCCCTCAGAGCCTGGTGGATTCTAAGTATTTCTCCAAGAAACAAAGCGTTAAGAACTTTCAGACATAGTAGTGCATGACTTTCATCCCAGCACTTGGGGGGCAAGAGGCAGGCAGATCTCTGTGAGTTCAAAGCCAGTTTCAACTACTTGTGAGTTCTAAAACAGCCAGGGCTACTTAGTGAGACCCTGTCTCAAGACAAAACAAAAACCAACTTTCTCAACACTTCTAGATGGTCGGAAGGGCATGTCCCCGTGACCCACAGAAGTCTTCTGAGAAATGCTTAGCTAGAAATCAGAAAGAAACTCTAGTAAAAATGCTCAGGGTTTGGGGTGGAGGTTTAGGACCTTAGACCAGATCCCCAAATTGAGGAGCTATGCCAGCCACCAAGAAGCAAGGGAACCCAGGGAAAAAATCAGGGGGTGACATCATTGTGGTACCTCAATCAAGAATGGTTACAAAGGTACAGACAGGAATATGAGAGGGGGATTCAGAGAGCTTAAACAAGATAGTCAAGATACTGCCTCACGAAGCCGTGTGCGCGCGTGTGTGTGTGTGTGTGTGTGCATGTGTGTGTGTGTGCGTGCACATGTGCGTGTGTGTGTGCACGCGCGTGTGCGTGTGGCACTATTTCAAGCTCTCTGCTGTCTTTCCTAGCCTTACTCATAACACCAGCCTCCTCTGTCACTGTGTGACCATAACACACCTCCTGGGCTCTCAGGCTGGGTCAGAAGGTCACACCGTGGATTATCTGTGACTCCCTTTGAATTCCTGCCAAGGCTATTTCAAAAAGAAAAAAGACTGCCAAGAGCCTAGGTAAAGAAATAACAAATTGGCACAGGCAACTTCTCCTAAACAGAGAAACACAGTGTGTGCATTGTGGGGAGAGCAGGCGCCAATCATGTGGAATAATTAATAGGTCTCAGGCGGAGATGACTGCATTTGATTGAATTCACCTCTCTGTTAGGGTATCAGTGAGACAGGGAAGCAAGCAGCTTCTAAACAACTGAACCAGCAGACAAAGGAACAGCGTACCCTGGGCAGGCATGAGTCTGTGCACACAGACTATGCACAACCCAGTCTTAGGTTTGGATGGAACATCTAGGCTGTGCTTCTAGCAGAATGCAGTGAAACTCACAGGCAGAGCTAAAGTCCACATCTGCTGACTTCCAGCTTATGATCGGGGAAGCTATCCTGTGTCGGCTTGTCTTGCTCCATGAGACCTTTAAAAGAAGTTCCAGACCCGTCCCAAAGAGGAAGATAGAAATAAGTGGCACTCCCAGAGGGCCTTGAGGTCAGTGACCATGCTGGGGACTTCTGTGGAGGGATGCAGCTTCTGGAAGCTAACCCAGGCTAACCATGAAGAGCTCCACAGGAGAACACAGCTTAGGTCATGTTCTGAGTACAGCTTGTGGATTCATGAGCTGTGGTCCCAGCCAAGTCGTGCCTAAGACTCCTGTCCCACAGACAGCGGGAGATGACTAACGTGGATTATTTGAGCCTAAATGTGTGACAGTCTGCCCCGGGGAGTAGAAAGCTGATAGAGGGGGAAGCAGCCATGAGAAGAACAAGTGAGGCTTTCCATGTGTTTAAAATAAAAAAGCCCAGGGTGAGGCTGGAAAGACCGGTGGGTAAAGAACATGCACACAAGCATTAGTTCAGATACCCAGCACCAAGTAAAAGCTGAGCAGGCTGCTGCACTTGGAAGGTGGTGACCATGAATCGCCAGGGCCAGTCAACTGCCTGAACTAACTCTCCACATCACTAAGCTCCAGCTCAGCAAGAGATCCTGCCTCAGGAAATAAACTGGACAGTGAAGACACACTCAATATCAACCTGTGCCCATGCATACAGTGCACATATGACCACATGGCATGTGAACACACATACATGCACACACACTATATATATCAAATCATTGGTAATATGATATTCTGCTTAATACTGTATGAAAGAAGTACTTAGTACTAAATATAAAAAGGAACATCCTTTTAGGGAATGTGTGGATGAGGAAACAGTGTGCTCTATGCAGAAAAGATCTGTTAGCAATACAGAGGGCACAAAAGAAAATATTACTTAAAAAAATAAACAAGATTTCCTATCTTAAGATATTCTCAAATACACCTACTTTAGATGCTTTGTCCCAGTGGAAACATTAACAATGAATTTTCTGATGTACTCAGTGAACAGGAATCACTTTTATAATAAAGTTTTCTTTTCATTAGACTCTTAATGTTAAAAGTCTTTTATTTATATTCCAGTTCAGAAATGTGGAAACAAAAACAGATATATAAATTCAATAACATAGAAATGATGAACATATGAAACATCTAAGTAAGATTATCACATAGCCAATAAAATGATGTTGAAGGATATTTTTTAGCATAAAGCATTTGTTATCTAGAAAGTGCAAATGCAAATTTTGTAAGGCTATATCTGTATGTGGGGGGTTATATTTCTGGAAATGGAACCTTTAGATACGCATATTGATGCAATTGTGGCATGAACGTTATGGGGTGACCAACCCCTCTATGATCAGATCAAAGGCCTGCTCCACAGGAAGAAGCTCATGCCTGGGGCTGTAAATTAGGTCACAAAACTGTGGTTGGAGAGGTCACAGGCAAAAGGGGAAAACATAGTACTATGATTTTGCTAATGGGCAGGGTATCAAATGCTTCTAAATACCTTCTTTATACCTTTAGATTGACAGAGCTCTCAACCCTCATTGAGAAGCTCTGTCTGCAGTGGGCCGTGGTTAACACAAAAAGATTCACAACTGATCAAAGTACAGAGAATAAGTGATTTTGGAGTGTCCATCCCTGATAGGACATTTACCCCTGCCACACACACCCTACCCAAGGCTCAGGGAAGAGAGGGCAGGAAAACTGTAAGAGCCAGAGATGATGGGCCCCATCTATAAAACAGCTGGGCATGATCTGTTACCCAGGAAACTGGTCTCCTCTTTGGGTTTAGTCTTGTTAATAAAAGAATTTAAAATCATACTCAGAAGGAAGCTTGAGGACAATTTTATCAGAGTTTAAGAGAAAACAAACAGGTCAGAAAGCTGTAAGTTTTGGCAGCAGCCTGGAGGGAAAACATGGAAAAAAGGAAAAGAGAAAACGAGGCCATTTGCAAGCAGCCCCATGGTGAAGGTACAGAGCTTTAGACAAAGAGTGAGGGAGCGGTCTACAAGAGAAACGAGAAAGCTGTGCTTCTCTGATGTGGACTAGAGAAGGGGCAGGCTCCAGTGCCATCTGGATATGACAAAGCTGGTACACTCACAAGCTCAAGGAGGCTGTGGCTGCCTACCTAAGAAAAAGCCAGTCAACAATCCAGCATGGACAGAGGAGGAGCTCATGAAGCCCCACCTGGGGCTGCCTGGGGGACAGAGCCATTTTTTGTCACGGATGTGGCCTCTGGTAGGTTGCCCAGGCCCAGGGGACGGCTCTACACCCGTGTGCATATGGGCAACGCTAACTGGAAGCAATGGCTATTTCTTAAACAGATTTTAGAAAGCAGACATGAAGTTGGCAGGAAGAGGGGACACGGTGGTGAATGAAGTCCAAGTACAGAATGAGCTGGGGGCGGAGCGTTGGGAATGGGTAAGATCAAAACACACGGCACAGGTGTGTGAAACTCTCCAAAGACAAACAAAATAGTTCAAAAAATTGAAAGATAAATATAGAAAGAGAATTAAAGAGAAACTTACAAAGGAGTAGCAGTGGTTAATTTTGTATGAAAGCCATAAATAATTCTAGTTTTGTTACACATTTCTCCAGAAACGTTAAATAGGAAAATACTACCATCATTATTGAGTAAATTAGAAATTCCTTTCAAAAATGGCCAACGTGTGTGTGTGTGTGTGTGTGTGTGTGTGTGTGTGTGTGTGTGTGTGTGTGTGTAGCTTAGAAGTACAGCACTTGCCTGAGCTCAAGGCCCTGGGCTCCATCCTCAGCACGGGAGGGAACGGGGCGGGGGTGTCTGACGGGAGGGAACGGGGCGGGGGTGTCTGACGGGAGGGAACGGGGCGGGGGTCTGACGGGAGGGAACGGGGCGGGGGTCTGACGGGAGGGAGGTCTCAACCCTCAGCCTCACCTGTCCCTTCTCCTTGCTGTGTTCCTGGCTGAGAACCTGAAATCGATCTGACCACTTGTTTGCCTGGAGGAGAGAAGACAAGTGATCTGTCTGTAACCGTGACACAGCAGAAACTCGCTCCACACTGGAGCTTGCTTTTCGCTGGGTACCTATGAAACCCAACGACCTAGTAAAATGTTAGCTGGCATTCTCAGATATTTCTGTTACAGAGTAGTCAGTATTTTAGGTTAGAAAGTGGGTCAGGGGAGTCTGTCACAACTATGGAGACGGGGATGACACAGTCGGGGTCACTACTGCTGTGAAGAAACACCATGACCAAACCCTTGGGAAGGAAAGGGTTTGTTTATTGGCTTACACTTCCACATCACAGCTCATCACAGTTCACTGTCAAAGGAGGTCAGAACAGGAAATCCAGCAGGGCAGGAACCTGGAGGCAGGAGCTGATGTAGAGGCCATGGAGGGCTGCTGCTGACTGGCTTGCTTCGCAGTGGCTTGCTCAGTCTGCTTTCTTATTGAAGCCAGGACCACCAGCCGAGGGAGGGCACCACCCCCATTGATTACTAATTAAGAAAATGCCCTGCAGGTTTGTCTACAGCTGGATCTCATGGAGGCATTTTCTCAATTGAGGTTCTCTCCTCTCCAGTGACTCTGGGGAGTGAGGCAAAGCACTGAGGTTTCTGGGTCTAAGGTTCTAAACAGGCAACTCCGTTCACGGGAGACACTACAGTCTGTGGGAAGTAAATGTCAAGAGTATGAGCCAACTTGTAGTTTCCTTCATGCCAGGCACCTGGCTGAGCAACCAGCGGCAGCTCGGGAGAGGATTCGAAGGACACCCTGATCTGTGCGGGAAAGGGGTGGACACAAGGCTGAGAGAACTACTGACCGTGTGTAACTGAGATCTGACCGAACAAATGGTATACAGAGTCTAGAGGAGTTTGGGAAAGCCTTGTGGAGGTGGTGTTCCAGCGATACTGCGGAATGAGTGTGAGGCGGATCCTGAAAACAGAGCTCACTGCCAGCAGAGAAAGCAGCAGGGCCGTGGTAGGGAAGGAACAAGGAGCCATGTTTTAGAACAGTGGTTCTCAACCTTCCTAGTGCTGCGACGCTTTAATACAGTTCCTCATGTTGTGGTGACCACCAACCATAAAATCATATTCATTGCCACTTCATAACTGTGATTTTGCTACTTATAAATCATAATGTAAATATCTGATATGCTGATGGTCTTAGTCGACCCCTGTGAAAAGGTCATTGGCAACCAAAGGGCTTGCAACCCACAAGCTGAGAAAAACCATTCCAGTAAGAGGACGCTGGGGCAGAGGGGACCTCATCACCGTAAGTTACAGTCTGGTGAGAACAAGGCCTTGCTGTTGGTTGAATGGTCTGAAAGTGTATGTGTGTGGGGGGGGGGGGGGGGGGAAGTGTCACTGAAAGACTAAGACAGGATGATGACATGTGCACCCAACTGTAATGAGAAGGCACATTTAAGGGAGCCAGGCAAGACGTAGCATTAAAACAAGAAACAGCAACCACGTTTCAAAATGCCCTTACCATTTAAAAATTTCACAGGTTTATTTTTATTAATATTTTATTATACTTATTTATTATGTGTGTACATGCATGCATCTGTGTGTGTGCAAGTAAGGTCAAGCATTGACACTGCACACATGTGGAGGTCCGAGGACAACCTGCGGTGTTGGTTCATTCCTTCTACCCTGTGGGTCCCAGGAGTTGAACCTGGGCCATGAAGCTTGGTGGCCAAAGCCTTTACCCTGTGAGGAATCTCAGTGACTCAAAGGCTTTTAAACGTGGTATTATTGAATCCGTGGGTTACATCCCCCCCCCACACACACACCATAGAGTGGAGACTGGATGTGAGGCCTCACACAGGCTACACCACCGACCTACACCTTAGTCTTTTTGATTTCTAATGGCTTTCCATGAACCACTGTGATAAAATAGCTTTTATAGAGGGATTATGGAGCCTGACTTCCAGATGAGAATAAAATATATAAAAGGTATCAGTTTGCCAAGATAGTGCTATATGTAATAATAAGTCTGACGCTTCGCTAAGCATGTTTTAAAAGTAAGATCTACATCTAAAACAGGAAAAACATTAAATAATAATGTGAACTGACGAAGGACACTGACTAGTTCTGACTGACATTTTGTCAGTGAAAACTGAAAACTTTAACTACTATTTTGTATTCACAGCGATGAATCAGTACCTATTGTGAATTAGGCCTGTGTAGAGAGACAAGGGAAAATAAGTGAAACCAACACATTGGTGTGAATGAACTCATTGAGAAAAGACTCAAGGGGGTGGAGACCCGGCTCTTGCATAAAGTATCCCCTTTACGGATCAAAACCACCTGGAACTCCGGTTCCATGGGATCCAATGCCCTCCTTCTGGCCCGCATGGGCACTGCATATATGTCTTACACTGCACACATAACTTCATGCAGATGCACACATAAATAACTCAATGAATGTTATAAGCCGCGGCTGTGGCCATCACCCATATCGTACCTGGCTGTCAAGGAGCTGCAGCATGTTTTGGAAATCCTGGGGATGCGGCAGATGGTCTTCTTTAAACTCGTTAACGTCTTGTAAGGTGCCTATGTTGGACTTGATCTGCATGTTGGACTTCTGAATTTCTAACAATTGCTATAAATGAAGAAAACATCACCAGTAGAAATGTTAGACATGTGTCCAACTGACACAGCAAAAAAGCTGGAGAGCCCAAAGCCCTGTTCAGCTCTTCCTGCCCTTCCAAACCGACCCTCCTTGCACGCTTCCTCCTGCCTCTCTCACGGCTTCGCTCTTGTCCCTACCTCTCTTTGATGTTTCCATCAGAATGTATACAGGACAGAAATGGGAAGGAAAACTAACTTTTAAAAAGTGATTTATGATTGGGGGTAGGACATGGCACAGTGTATGTGTGGTCGCCAGAGGACAACGGTTAGTCTGTTCTCTCTTCCTAACTTCATGTGGATTTGGGGGACTGAACTCGGGACACCAGGCTTACACACAAGTACTTTACTCACTGAACGACTTCTCTGGCCCCAAGTCAACTTTCTGGCCTTTGACAATGTGTCTTTAAATTTTTAACAGGCACATAAAATTTGTGAGAGGAACTGGGTATGTCTGTCTCTTTCTGTTTTTTGTTTGTTTGTTTGTTTGTTTTTATTTTGAGGCAGGTCTTGCTCTGCTGCCCAAGCTGGCCTTGAACTCTTGCTGATCCTGTCTCAGCCTCTTGGGTGCTAGATTACCGGGGCATATCACCATGCTGTGTGACAGCTAGTCCTAAGAAGTTAAGACACTGTAATGGAAAGCCAACACCATCCAGGGGCCATCCCGGTAAATCCAGTAGGGGCACAAATGTTTTAAGTTCCTCAGGGTTAACTGTGGCAATCAATCAATCAATCAATCAATCACAATCCCACACAGCAACAGTTAACATCAACAACAATCAAGTTAACATCAACAACAGAAGGGGGGGAGCCTACTCACTGTGTGCTCACAGTGACCACTCATGTGCAAAGCAGCTTTTCAGTTAAGAAGCACTTAACTGAAAGGATTTGGGTGTCCTTCTACAGAAGCCTTTAGTTTTGTTTCTAAAACTTGTCGGCCTCTAGAGGGAGCCCGAGGATCGCCCTCGGGTCTCTCTTCCTTTTCTCCAGTTTTCAGATCAAAAGGAACTAGATTGTCAGGCACTGAAGGGTCCAGCCCCAGTAAGTGAATCTTCTATGACACACCTCTATGGACCACAGCTGTTCCCACCCAGCACAGAGCCTGCTCGCCATATCCTGCTTACTTCAGAGACCCAATCCTCTTCATACGACAGGTGTGGAGTGAGGAGGGGCTACGCAAGGACTCTTCTCTCTCCCCCGCCCCTCTCCTCCTCCTCCTCCTCCTCCTCCTCCTCCTCCTCCTCCTCCTCCTCCTCCTCCTCCTCCTCCTCCTCCTCCTCCTCCTCTCCTCTCATCTTGGTAATCTGTGTCAGCCTTTCCATTCACTACTTGGAACATTCTAGAATCTGGGGAAGGGTTTGTAGTTTAAACCTACAAACCTATTAAACCTATTTAAACCTAACCAAATAAGGAAAGAGCAAATTTCTTCTGGGAGCTGAGCAAATGCATCCAACAGGTGTTCTGTACTAGAGTCTGTACAGACCGCCCACTCATAACAAAATCATTTCTCTCACCTGCTCTGCCTCCTATGTGCCTCAGTCTCCCTGGTAGGAGAGGCCGTGTGTACTGGGCATGGTGAAATATCTGAACCTTGGGTCATGGGGTCATGCTAACACTGTATCTCAAAGCAATAATACCATGAGAACTTCTAAGATAGATACTCACATATTCTAATGCTGAGTTCTTAGAAGTTAAGTCTTTAAACTCCTTCATGAACATCTCCTTAACCTTTTCCATTTCATCCAGTAACTTCTCCTTTTCTTCCTCTTTCCATCTATCAAATAACTTCAGAAAGTCGTCTTCCTTCATTTTCTGCATTTCATATTCCTGGAATTATTTTAATATGTGTCATTAAAGGCTCTGGGATAAAACAGGCAAATTTCAAAACAAACTGTAGCTTCATCCTAACTCTGTTAGTATTTTTTCCTTGGAGTAGACCAGTAAGAACTCTTCTTAAAAACAGTAGGTCTATACACAATCATTCTTCCAAATTGAAAGCTAGCTGGGGAATTGGCACGATGACTCATGGGGTAAGCGTACTTGGCGTACTGACAGCTTGAATTTGATCCTAGGACTCACAAGGTGGAGGTAAAGAATCAATTCTAGCAGGGTCCTCTGACTTCCACATGCCCACCACATATGTGTACTTGTGGTGATATATTGTGTAACCTAATAAAATTTACCTGAAGGTCAGAGGACAGAACAAGCCACTAGATTAAACATAGAGGCCAGACAGTGGTGGCACACACCTTCACTCCTAGTGCTGGAGAGGCAGAGATCCATCTGGATCTTTGTGAGTTCAAAGCCACCCTGGACTACATGAGACTGACTCGGTCTAGGAGAGAAAACAGAATCAGGCAACGGTGGCACACACCTTTAAGTCCAGTACTGGGAAGCACACACGCCTTTAATCCCAGGAAGTGATGGCTGGGTGGAGAAAGGTATATAAGGCATGAGGAGACAGGAACTAAAGGCTTTCGGCTAAAGAACCCCTTTCAGCTAGAGGCTTTTGGCTAGAAAGTTTTCAGGCTGAGGAGTCCTAGAGGTAAGAGGTGGCTTGTTCCTTTGTCTCTCTGATCTTTAGCATTTACCCCAATATCTGGCTTTGGGTTTTTTAGTAAGACCATTTAAGAATTTGTGTTACATGTACTCAATAAATAGGTATAAATTAGAAAAATAAACAAACCCACATTTGGAGACGGGAGACATGGCTTGGTGGTTAACAGTGTTGGCTGTGTAAGCATGAGGTTCCGTGTTCAAATCCCTAACACCCATGTATAAAGCCAGGATGGCCACACATAAGCCTGTGACCCCAGTGCTGCGGGAATGAGAAAGGGGGAGGATTGCTGAGGCTTGAGGGCATCCAGCCTTGCTCCAGGCTCAGAGAGAGATCCTGTCTCAAAGGAATAAGGGCCCTGGCCTACATGTCCATGCATACATACATACACACATTATGCACAAAACACACACATACCATACACATACGTATCACACACACACACACACACACACACACACACACACACACACACACACACACACACCCCAAAGCCAGCATCCCCATTTCTCTGCATCTTTTAAAGTACTAGTAATTGCATCGTCTCCAGTACAGAAACTCTGTGCCCTACCTTAGAGAACCGGACTGCGTGGGCATGCTGGGCAGACTCTAGCTGAGACCTGGTGAGCTGCAGCTGTTCCTTCAACATGTCTATCTCCTTCTGGAGCCTGTCAGTCTGGGCCTTTGTATTATACTCTGTTGCAACAGAAAACCTAGTTAGAATCTTGAAAATCTAGTTTCTTATGAACTCGCCTAAAAAAACCTTACAGGGCATCCGTAGCTCTATGGATAAGATGAAAGAGATGCTCTCACTCGGGACATTATTACTTATTTTATGCTTTGAGCCCTGTCCCGTGTGATCTGGAGCCCTTCATGTGACCAGACATTTCATTAATTTTAGTGACCTCTTTCAGCCACTCACTGTACTAAGGTTGGTTATTCAACAGGGACAGTGTAAGAGCCCTGTTCGGGGAGCAATCCTGGTTGTTATGACCACTGGTACTCTGGACTCTTTCAGAGGTATCCATCTCACTCAAAAACAGAGAAGCAAAGGCTTCACCTACACGTATCACAATACTGAAATCATACGCGTTGTTTGGGCTCCCACCCAACTTTCCTAAAGTCCCTGTCATGGATCGTACAGAGGGCAGGGGACTCAAGACACAGATTTGGGCGGTCATCTGTCAACTAGGGCCAAAGCGAAGAACTGAAAAGGTGTCAGAGGAGGCAACAAGTGAAGGGGGGGGTACTTATTATGTCCATGTACTTACATGAGGATGTACACATGACTGAATGGGTATACATGTGCTGTGAGTGTAGACATGAAAGGGATGGAAACCAAAGCAGAGAGTCAGAATCTCAAAGATGACCTGAAGAAGTAATACTCATTTCAGAGTCTGACGTGCTCTCTGACACGAGTATGAGATAGAATGGGAAACTGAAACAGAGAGACAGAGGTCAGTTTCACACTGAAGAATGTAGGTCAGTTCCAAACACTTCAACATTTCCCTGTTTCCGTAAGACTGCTTACTTGTCTCAGCAGTCTATGGCTTAGAATGAAAACTTCCGCTGTCTGTTTTGCTTCTACTACAAAGCACAATGGGCAGGAGGAGAAACAGACCAGCCCCAAAGGAAGGAAAGCAGCCCTTCTCTTGAAAACACTTCCGTAGGTTACAATGGCACGAGACTGCCCGCCGGAGGAGGACCTTGCATTCCTTGAGAACACTCCGACAGTGGGAAGACTGACTCCTTGAGAACCCACAGAACCCTTCGCCCATGTCTGTCCTTATTTCTCCCTGTACTTTCCGGTTACTTCCCATCAGCACCCACACATACTAATTCCTGTATACGATCATCTTCTCTTGTCTCACATTTCAATCGAGGTGAAGTCTCAGGTCCCTTGCCGTCCTTCCCAGCACACACTGATAACATGTATACCCGTTCGTTAAGAGCATTTCCTCACTGACTCCCAACTTAGCTACTCAAACTGACCTGTTGTCTTAGGAGTTCTTTGAAGCTGCTGTGTCAAGGCCAACTACTATGTGGCAACGCTAAATTCGCCATCTGCACCCCACTCTTTGCTTCTGGAACATTTGATAGATCTGACCACTGCCACCTTCTAGGAACACTTTTCCCCTTGCTGTTCACAACAGGACACTCCCTAGGTCACCCCATGGTACTTCCTACCTGCCTTTCTTGAGGAACAATGTTGGGAGGCCTAGTATTGGCCTTGGGTCTTCTGACCTCTAACCAAATGGCTTCAGCCAGGCCAGTCTTCCAGTGACTTCCAGATCCCTCTACCCTGGGCCTCCATCTGCAAACATCAGCTGTGACTTGCCTGTCTCTTGTATGTGTGATGTAAATGTATGCATGGCTAACACAAACTCTCCTGTCTCCACTTTCTTTTAAATTCTTCCCGCCACTAACCCTCTATCACAAAAAAAATTCATCTAAACAAGAGTAGGTCTTTGTTTTATCTCTCGCTTTCACCCTAAGTCATAGCTCTGTAGTCTCTGTGTCCAACCCATGCTCTTTCTATCTCCCTCTGCCCTGGAACTGTCCCAGTCTAGGCTTCCTTGACTCACTTGGACTTCTAGGCACCTCCTCATTCTTCTATCAGCTTCCACTCTGGCCCTTGCAGACTATCATCTGCAGCTAGAATGTTCTCTTTAAGGTACAAATTACATCATCATTCTCCACGAAAACGTCACCCCGTGGCTCCCCATTGTACTCACCCATAGGCCAGGGCCTTCATCACCACCTGAGATCAGTCCCCCAACCCTCGGGCCTTCCCACACACCACTCCTCCAGTCTCCTTTCTGTCCTCTCCCCTGCCCTCACTATCAGCAGTCCTTGTACCTGGGATGCTCTAGTCCCTGACTCTCACCAGACTATCACTTCTTCATTACTCTGCTCTCCAGGCAGACACAGCCTCCTCAGAGAGGCCTTCAAAGGTCACCTGGGATGATTCTCCCTGTCTTTGTCCTTCACAGCTTTTGACATTTTCTTTGCATTTGGCACTTGGAAACTATTGCATTGGTTTAAGCGTCTCTTAAGCCAAGCAAGACTTGAAGTGGGACTTCTGCAGCCTGCTCAGGGCTGTGTGCTCAGCAGTCAGGGTACCATGAATATACACAGAAGGGTTCAACATCTACTCACTGGATAAGCACAGCCCATAAGGCTTCCTTTCAAGAGGACTGAGAAATGCACCGGAGCACGTCTCATTGAGAAAGGAAAAAGGGAGCAGAAAGAAAATAACTCCGATACAGACAGAGTTCATGCCTTACCAAGGTGAGACTCGGAAGTGTGGCGGCGTTGAATGTGGCTTTGCAGGAAAGCTTGGTTCATAAAGGCCTTGTCACAGAAATGGCACTGAAAAGAAAGCGACAGATTCAAGTGTCTACAGTGAGTTTCCCATCTACTTGAAGTACAAACTGGGGATCTGAAGCATCTTCCTAAAAGATGCAGATGTCGGCTGGTGATAGTAGTTCGAAGGGCAAACGTACGGTAGGAATGCCCTTCTGGAGACAAGTCAGTGAAACGTATCCTTTGACAGCTGGAGTATCCCTTCTGGTAACTTCTGGAAATGATGTTTCTATACATCGGTTTCCATCTTAATACCACCAATTTGTTCATGGCAGGAGGAGAGACGGTAGCAGAACCAGTCCTGCTAAAACCTCGATGTAGGATTTCCAGCTTCCCAGTAGTGTGAAAATACATTTCCGTTACTTAAGCCATCTAATTGATGGTATTTGTTATGGCAGACCTAGTAGCTAATATAGGTGAATACACATATGTGTATGTGCTTGAGTGTGAAGTGTTTTAAAGCTAAAAAACATTCTCTTACGACTATACACACCCATAAAAACTTTCAAAGGTGTACGGCATACAACGAACACACAGGAGAATACAAGGACACAAGGATTTCCTCTGGAAATGGATGGAGGGAAAATTCTACTAAAACAAAATAAGGATATGACCTCTGAGAGTTGGTCATATTCCAGGGATGGCCCCACACCCAAGAATATGTGGATAGCACAAACCGGACTCCATAGCTTTTGTCATTTTACAGAGAACATGAAGTAGGGTGGCGGTAGATCTGGTAGGAGCTGGGAGAGGTAAATATGATAAAAAATGCTATGAAGTTCTCAAAGTTAGTAAAATTTTATATGAAAACAATGGAAAATATACCTTTTTTTTAATCTTAAAGTTTCCCCAAAATAGAGGATGGAAATACACAGCAGAACCCTAGCACACACTACGCTGTCAGCTACACTGTTCAATGTGCTCTTTCTATGCTCCTTACTAGTCAGTCCATTGCTCATTCTTACTGATTTTTCTGTTAAAATCTTCCAAATATGGATATTCAGCATATGGTTCTTTTGATTTTTCTGTACACTATAAGTTTTACATAAAACATATTGAGACAAAAGACAGCATTGCCATTATAACCCTTTTGTAGATTTTGGCTGCATACAACACATGTCACACCCACACTCTCAATGGGAAAAAGACTTCAAGAAGTGGACATCCTTAAATATTTAATTTTTACTACATGGTTACTGTGATTTCTTGAATCAAAAGGAAATGGAGACAGAGAAGTGATATAGGAATGAGATTAGGATTTCTGAAGATGAACTTGATCACATGGTCTGCCCAATCATTTTGCAAAGAGTCCAGGGCCTCTGGACTTCGTCTGCAGAGGTAAAGGAAAATTAAAATTTGGTAGTCACGTGACTTTTCTCATCTTGTAGTAAATTGGCTCTGGTGTTTTTTTTGTCTGCCACTAGGCTTCCCCACCTCACTCTCAGGTTTTAGCTAAAACAACAAACAACAACTAACTAACTAAATGTTAAGTATGGCCACACAAACCTCATCAACAATGACTACGATGTAGGGGTGATGACCTTTCCATTTCACAGAGCAGACACTAATGTACACAAGAGTTGAGAGATTTGCTAAGGTCTAGCAGTTGAGACAGTAGTAGAGATGTGTTGTGGAATATTCCTTTACACTGTGTGAGGATGTATCACTGTGGTTGGTTTATTAAGAAGCCAAACAGCCAACAGCTAGGCAGGAGGTAGGACTTCTGAACAGAGAGAGCTCTGGGAAGAAGGTGGAGTCACCAGCCAGACGGACAGGATGGGGAGTACGAAGTAAAGGTGACCGAGCCACATAAAATAATTTACATTAAAAGATATGGGTTAATTTAAGTTATAAGAGCTAGTGGGATAAGCCTAAGCTATAGGCCAAGCTTTCATAATTAACAATAAGTTTCCATGTCATTTTTTGTGAGCTAGTGGCCCAGAGAAAAATCCGTTTGGAATTTGAGCCCACATGGTTGCTGTGGGATGGTCTGTATGTCAAATGTGTTGCTCTGATTGGTCAATAAATAAAACACTGATTGGCCAGTGGCCAGGCAGGAAGTATAGGCAGGACTAACAGAGAGGAGAACTGAGAGAACAGGAAGGCAGAGGGAGACACTGCCAGCCGCCGCCATGACAAGCCGCATGTGAAGATGCCGGTAAGCCACGAGCCACGTGACAAGGTATAGATTTATAGAAATGGGTTAATTTAAGATGTAAGAACTAGATAGCTAGAAGCCTGAGCCATTAGGCCAAACAGTTTAAATAATATAAGCATCTGTGTGTTGATTTTATAAGTGGGCTGTAGGACTGCCGGGGCTTGGCGGGACCCGGAGAGAAAACTCTCCAGCTACACACAGTTCCTAGAGAGCTTCCCTATTACTGTTCTCTGTGGAAGTAGAAGCATGTGACCTGATTCCGCAGCATGACTAGGATGCAGTCACACATTTTTCAATTTATATCAGTCTGCCAGTCAAGCCAGAAGAAAGAGGCCACAGGACGGAATATATCCATCAGTAGATAAATGATTCACACACTCTTGTCTCTTTTAGTCCTGACAGCACCCTTCTAAGTCATAGAATTTCTTATAATCTGAAAATGCAAACAGGTCCTCAACAAATTTATCTTAGACTGAAGGTAGGGTAGAATGTGAGAGAAAGAGAGAGCGGGGAGGGAGGAAGAGGGGAGAGACAGAGAGAGACACAGAGAGAAAACCAGTCCACCTGGAGCTAAGTTTCCTTTTGAAGCCTGAGGACAGACAGACTCATTTAACTCACATTTTCCAGCAGAATACTGATTCTGTTGACTCCTCCCCCAAACCACCAGCATCAAAAAGGTGTGGCTATTCCCTAACAAGGGAGTTGCTCATTCCATACCTCTGGAATCAGAACCTCCAAAGCATCACAATCCTGGTGGGTCAGGGAAGGCCTTGAGGAGTGCTTGGCCATGAAAAGACATCTCTAAATTTAAAAAAAAAAAATAAGTGTGTGCGTGTGTGTGCACACGTGTATGCTATAAAGGTGGCTCAGTAGTTAAAAGCACTGGCTGTTCTTATAAAGGACTCAAGTTTAATGCCCAGCACCCACATGGCAGCTCACAACCGTAACTCCAATTCCAGGAGATGTGACTTCCCTCTTCTGGCCTGTACAGGTACTGTATGTGGTTCATGGACATACATGCAGGCAAAAGGCCCACGCACAAAAAATCAAAAAAAAAGTTTTTAAGAACGTGTGTGTGTGTGTGTGTGTGTGTGTGTGTGTGTGTGTGTGTGTCGGGGGAGGGATCCCAGAAACCCACAAAACAATACAGTATGTTACCAGTGCTCTTGGTTACCTATTAGAACATGACTCAAAGACCTACACTTTGATTACAGGACATGAGTAAACCAAGCTGGTACTAATCTGGAAGTTTCTTCCCTACTGACTGGCTTTCACGGTGCCGTAAGGGGCTATGAAGGCTGCTGAGGGAGAAAAGTCATCAACAGTGTTACCCAGCTGTAAGTCATAATGATAATCACCCTGACAAGATGTGCCAATTAGTGCAATCATGGCATGAAAGATATGGGGTAACCACAGCTCAGGAAACATCATGGAAGAGACGGCAGAAAGATTGTAAAAGCCAGATATGAGGAAGATTCCTTAGAAACAATGTCTCCCAGACATGATGAGGCCACTCATGAACTCCCAACAGCCATGGCTGCCAGCACAAGACCAGCACAAGATCAAGCCAGTCAGCATTGCAGTTTGGTAAGGAACAGGCTCCTGAACACTAGCTGAGAAGCTGTGACAGTTTCCTTCTGTGGTGTAGTTTGCCCATGCTCCAGTAGAGGGCTCCCTACACACAGGACAAAACCCTAAATTGGATTATTTTTCTGGCAATAGATTAATTAAATTTAACTAATTGATTAAAACGCCCAACTGTATCCTACAGTCAAATGACTAAACAAAATCAAATCTCTTCCTCTAAATTGTTTTACTGACCAAATATAACCTACAGTTTCAACAATTTTGCTACTCACTCTCCATTCACGCTGTGGTCTTTGGGCACCTGACTCGCCCTGCGGCTTTCCCAGCTGAGCCCTGGCCTTCTTTACCTCCACCCGTCACTGAGGTCCTAACGTGGTCTAAGGATTTACAAACAGATAACAGGAAGCATAACTCATCACCAGAGAGTCGCCCGCGTGTCCACCGAGCCCTCACCCACGCTTCCCCCCTAACAGGCAGCTGCTACTCATGTCCCCGCTCTCCAGGGAGGAACTCCAGGTTAGAGATGAAGTGACTTGTAATTACACTCAAACCCGTGCGGTCTAACTGTGACACTGTCATCCTGAAGTCTTCATAAGCAACGGTGTGCTTAACAGGACAGAGCACCTGCACACCTAAGTAGGAAAAGATGATGTAGTCACTTCTGCCTTACTGTCCCACACCCAACACAGCCAGCACTGGCATTCAGAGTCTGCCAAGTGCTAAGAGACGAAAGGTGTCATTGGTTTAATAAAGTCCTTCGCTTTATCTATGTACACAGCATTCATATTTCATTTGTTAGTTTTCAGCTACACCCCCCATTCATGATTCATGTTTGAAAAGCTTCACTAACAATTATTTCTAAGGTGGTTGAGAGAATGAAAGATATAACTTTTTGCTAGATGTATTAATAATTAATAATTACTACCCAAACTAGAGAACGATACACTTACTTTAAATGTTTAAGAAGAACTGATTCCATTCATTGTACAAAAAAAGTAATTGTAGCATTATTTCTAGGTATGTAATTTTTGAACAGCATTTGTAAAACAAGTCCCTGAGGACATCAAGTGTCATTTGAAGAGAGTGCCTCCAGGTGGTCTACCCAAGGCCACTCACTCCCTGGTCTCCCTCACAGCATTCTTTACCAACTGCTCTGCAAGCTGAAATACA